TAAAAAGCACCACCTCAGTCTTCTGGAAGAGACTGCATTTTAATTCATGGCAGCAGCATGTTAAATGCCTAATTGCAATGAAAGCAAATTCTCAGACCTCTGAATCCAGCAAGACTTCTAACAGCAACTGATTTGAATTCTCCCAGGAGCAAAGACAACATTGTACATTTACACTTATTCCAAAACCCAGTAGCTTTATTGATTACTCTGACACATCATTAGATTTAATTTCCACGCCCTTTGCATTACGTAGAGAAGCTTCTAAATATATCACCATTTCCCTCATGAAACATTTGATGGCTAACACAAGAATCATTGCACTGATTATAACATTTAAGAGGGAGTTCAGTTGTTTTTAAGATCAGTGACTCAATCCAGTGCCTTTCTTTTTTCTTCTTAGCTCACCCTCCCAGTCTGTCTCCTCATCAGCACCCTGACAGGACACGCACACGCTGCAATCCATATTGCTCTTAGGCAACCCTCTGGGAAAGGAAATATTAAAAACCCATTCAGTTTTGGTGTAGAAATCTCCTTCTCCTTCCCTCTTCACAAGTGAAGGAAGCTGTGAAAAATCTTTTGTGCATTCAAAGGGCAAAAAAAGAACAAAGCAATCTCTATTGCCAGACTGGGCAACAGTAAAAAGGGAGGGGGTGTTACATCAGGCCTTGAAAAACACTGAACACCTACTAACTGAAGATAAACAAGATATGGACACTGCTGTGCCCTCTCAATAGGCTCCAGCACAAAAATTTCACCACCAAGTGCTAGAAATTGAGGCAAGACCAAGTATTTCACAAAGCAACGATCCAGGTCCTGATGCTCATCTGCTGTAATACTTCCAACAGCTCGGTGCCTGAAGATAAATTTCTTTGTATTTATTAATCTCTTACACACATAAGCATTCGTGGGTGATGGGCAAACAGCTCTTCCCATATTTATTCCCTCCTCTGCTGCTGCAGGAACTTTTGTCACTACCCAGTCCCATTTCCTTGCTGGAATACAGGCAGGAAGCCAGGGGAAAATGGGTACTCCACAACCTCTTTCCTCTCACAATCCATTCCACTGGTAGGAAATTAATTTCAGCTCCTATTTAAGGTAGAAACAACTTTCTGATGCAGCAGAGCTTGTGGACTTGAGTAACAGCAGGATCAGACACAGTTCTCCCTTCCATTACTGCAGGAACCTGACAAAGAAACTTTCTCTACTCACTACTGACAAGCATTCTTTTAAAAAAAAAGTGCATATCCTTTGAAAGAGCATTTCCATCTGGCACTTATCCCACATTTCACATTAAAATTAGTTTTTCCAAGATGACAGTATTCATTTTCTCCAGCAAAATTCTCAGCAGAGACTCCTTTCAAGGATAACACACCTCTATCTGAAATACTGGCTCAGCAAGACTATTTGAGACATTAAAAAAGAGCTAAATAAAATTACATATGGTTAGAGGTGTGGGCATTACTGAAGAAAAAGAGAAGTTGTTGGAAGAAGTAACTTACAAGAACAGTGACAAAACACAATTCCTGTATTTAAAACTATGAAAGAGATGGCAAAAAGTGTAAGTCTCCTTCTTAAAATATCTTAATGAAAGAAAGTAATTGTAATCAGTTCCACTTGGTAATTAAAAAAAAAAATATAACCCTACCTTTAAATCTCAGATTTATATTTAACCAAACAATAAATACAGAAGAATGTGAATAAGTTCTCATCTCTTCAAAACAACATAATTAACAAGCTGTCAGTCACTGAGAAAAGCCCTATTTTGTTTGTTTGCCAATGTCCAGTAATTAAGCTGGCAAGTCCATTTTGTCAAGATATTTCTAACACAACTGAGACAATTTTTTAAAATCGGTCAAACCCACAATAAACCTTTATCGTCTTATGAAGCTCCAGTGATTCAACAACACATGCTGAGAGTTATGCACAAAAAGGAGTAACCAAGCCTTACATGCCTGGACAAAAGGGAAGCACTGTTGTGGCCAGGAACCAGTTCACATCCATGCAAAGACAGGGGGGTGAAAGGATTTGTCTTCATGCCAAATTCTGTCCTTTCAGCCGTGAAATGAGGTGTGTGCCCAGCAGCTGGACACTGCACCAGGAACACACCTGCGCTTGGAAAGCCACCTCTGCACCACAGAAAGGCCCAGCTCTGGCACATGGACAGGAGGGAACAGGTCCACTTCCAAACTGGACACCTGCTCAGTCCTGGGCACAGCTCTGCTGCACGGCTCTCCTCAGGTCACAGAACACACGTTTTTCCTAAAAGCACTAAAGCACCGGCCAATTTTCTGCAGAGCTGCATTACCGTAATTAAAAATAAACCACGGCAAGATCGTTGCTCGAAGTGTAAGTAATGAACCATCCACAGGGAAGAGAGCAGCCCTCCTGAGTCTGGAACTGGATTTTTGCTGTGTCCATAGCTCCCCATGCAAAGTGACAGAAACCTCAAATAGATGAGGACATCAGTGAACAGAGACACAAAATTACAGGGTTTAGAGCCTCACGTCCTCCTTCTGCTACAACCTCAGTACTGTAAGAAAGAACTTCCATGTTTGAGACCCACCTGGGAAACAGGGAAGAACAACTTAAATCCCAACTTCATTCCCCTAAAATATGCAACCTAAAGAAGAGTAAATCCTCCCCACAGCCTCTGTCAAAAACCTTTCCTTTAGACTATTACCATGGCAAAGACTCTCATTCAGAAAAGCAAAGGAGCTCACGATCAAAATAACATACAACTGACACTTCCTTCCATTGACTTCTTTAAAGAAAGCTGACAAATCCCAGGGCAGTTATGAATTTATAATTTCACTCTGCAATCAAAACACACTAAGACAACAGTTCACTAGACCCATTTAATTGAACTTCATTAAACTGCCTAACTCTGTACCCACATCCATTTACCAGAACAACATGTAGTCAATCCTGTAAGTCAGAAGAGTTGTCTTTTTGCTGCTGTTTTAAAGCAGAGCACACCATTGCCTGAACTGACACAAAATAACAACACCTAAAAGGCAGAAGATCAATGCAAATATTGGTTCTTGACAGAGAAGTGACAGAAGAGGGAAGAAGGGGGTTGTCAAAGTCTCAACATGTGGCAGAACAGAAATCCCCATTGGGTTCCAAGTTTTGAAAAAGTAATGGGAAAGATTTCCAGGACCATTCAGATAGGAGTACTCCTTCTCCACGAACAGCACACACCAAGGTCAAAAGTTGAGTTTTAACTCCTTTTTTCCCCAACAAATCTAAGAAACAAGTCTGGATGATATCACCAGATTTAAAATGCAGGGAGAGTATCACAAATTGCTGCAGTGGTCAGGTCAATAGAGCTGATACACAGGTAAATTATTTGAGATATTCTGGTCTTTATCCATGACCGCACAAAAAAACCAGAATTATCCGAAGAAGCTGCACCCCGTCTCTCTGATCCAGTGCCAGCTAGGCCCGAGACAGTGTCAGGACACCGAAAAAAAATGCCCTCTCATTTGCTACACTTCATGTCTTCCCACAGGAACTGGTCTCTTCCTCCTCGTTCTATTTCCTGTACACAGCCCATTGTCACCAGGTGCAAACACACACACACCGACTCACCAGCCTGCGCTGGCCCCGATCTGGCCGCGGGCAGAGGTGACCTGCAGCCTCTCAGCCTCACCGAGGTGCTGCCCCTGCCCGGCCCGGCGGATCGCAGAGCTCGGCTCGCACGGAGCCCCTCGGGACGGCGGGTGTCAGACCCGCCGGGGCTCCAGCGCTCCCGTCCCGCTGCCGGCGGGGGGATCCGCGCAGCGCGGCCGCCCCGTCCCTCCTCCCTCGCCCCTAATCCCTCCTCCTCCGCCGGCCGAGCCCTCAGCCCGCAGCCCCTCCGCCGCCGGGTGCTCCACGCCCGACCCCTCCGCAGCCCCCGCCGCCGGCGTCCCCCGCCCCGCCCGGGACCCCCTCCCCGCCCGGCCCTGCTCGGCCCGGCCCGGCCTCGCCGCGGCCTCGGCCCCGCGCTCACCAGGAGTAGGTCTGCTCCGCCATGGCTGCGGCCGGCGCTGGGCTCTGCGGGGCGGCCGGGCCGGGCTCCTCCTCCGCCTCCTCCTCCGCCTCCTCCTCGCGGGCTCCCGGGGCTCAGTGGCGGCCCCGCTGCGGCTCCCGGCCCAACATGGCGGCGGCTGTGAGGAGGGAGGGAGCCGAGGGGGTCCCGCGCGGGTGGGGAGGGCGATGTTGGCGGCGGGACGGGCGGGGGCTCAGCAGCCGCGACGCGGGGCCGCGCTGGGGCGCCGGCGGGGCCTCATGGCCGGCTGGGCGGCGGCGGCGGCGGCGGTGGCGGCGCGGGGCGGGGCGGGACGGGAGGCGGCGGCACCGGCGGCCGGGCCAGGCCGCGCCGCGTGCCCGCGCTCGCGCACGGCGGGGCGGGGCCGCGCCGGGGTGGGAGGGGCCGCGAGGGGGGGCGGGGTCCGGACGGCGCGCGGGGGGTCACGTGCCCACAACAGCCTCACGTGCCGCCGCGGGCCACGCGCAGGCGCCGTGGGACGGGACAGAAGAAGGGAGGGAGGCGGCGGGGCGGGGGGCTGTTGGTTGCCGGGCCTGCCCGCGCCGCTGCTCGCGGGGAGCCCCGCGGGCGGGCGGGTTCGCTGCGGGCTCCGGGGCCCGCAGGGACACCGCGTGGGAGCGACGGAGCTCCTCCGACACAGAGGCAGCGCGGAAGGCGGGTGGGTTTTGAGGCTGGGGGCTTCCCCGGGCTTGCGGCGGGGAGCAGCGGGCACCGCAGCGGGCACCGCAGAAGCCGCTCCCCGCGACCCCCCGGGCAGTCCCCCGGGCTGGCGGGGCTGTCTCGGCTCCGTCCCGGTGGCCGGCGGTGACCCCGCTCCGCTCGGGGCTCCGGGACCCCCCGGACTCCTCCCGGGACTCCTCCCGTTCTGGCTGTGACCGATTCCCGCACCCCCCATGAGCCCGTGACCTCCCCAGGAGTTTGGGGGGTTCCTCTGAGGGAGGGTTGGGTGGTAAATGCACCGTTCAGGTAAGGTAGTTCACACACGCCGGTGGTTTAATTTATTAAATACACAGGTGTTCCTGGAGACTGCCGTGGTTTTGAATTTGTGATCTTGGAAACCAAGTAAAATCAGTAGGATCAGATGCTCGAAGTGGGTTTTTAAGGAAGGAAAATAACGTTCCGTGTGCTTTGACCAAATAAAAATTACATGCTCTGTGTTATCACCAGCCCTGTATCAAACCTGCACAATCCCAGGCAGAGGAACTGCTGCATTTATACTGATCTTGTCTCTCCCCTCCTGGTTTCTGCTGCCAACCCCTCGGTCCAAATGCAGAAGTGGTGTGTTCTGCTCCCATCTCCCGGGAATTCACTTGCACCAGTTTGTGCAAGTGGGGCTTTGTGGAGTTTGGATCCGTTGTCCCAGTCCAGCTGTGCATTCCCATTCATTGTTCCTTCCAGCGTGGGAGGGACAAGAGCCAGTTTGAACATAGAGTTGGACATGACGTAACTGCATGGCATATAAATAGAAGAACAATGCCTGGGTCTGGTAAAAATAGGCATTTGTTTTATAAAAAAAAAAAAAAGGACAGAGAAATTCTATGCTTTAAGAGAATTTTCCTACAATCTTCAAAAAATTAATGGGACATTGGGACATTCTCACTGCACCTGCAGGGATGCCGGATGCAATTTGGAGCCCACTCTAGTTTATTTTATTAGTAGATTGAATAAATTAATTCTGTTCTGTCCATCTCATTTATTCTCTTAAATGGAAAAATCTTAGCAGGGTATGTGGTCATGCCAGAGGATTGAGAATATCTCATTTCACCTCTGTTCTGTCAGCAGCTGCTGTGTAGTCCTGGGTGGATCACTTCGTCCTTGCTAGCTCAGCTCCTGCATCATTACAGAGGAAACTGCAACACGTTGCAGCCACCTGAAGTTCTGGGATGCAGCAGCAGGAGGATCTGCATATGCAACACAGGTTTTCTTGGTCTTGGTGGAGGTGACGCCTGGGATTCTTCTGTTACAGTTAAACACTGCTGGACTCCCAGGGCTTCTCCCCCTGCATTTTGTGCTTTGACAGAAAGGGATTTGGGCTGTGTCGCTTCAGCATCCAAATCCTCTGATTTGGCCTTGTGGACAAGGACGACCTTAGTGCTCCTGACACAGTCAGCACTTCAGCCACTCACTGACATCTGTTTGAGAATCGGATTTATGGGCTGGGAGGTGGAAACACTCCAAGGACTGTGACTGGCCAGCTCACGGGCTCCCTGCTGGGGTCAGTCCTGGCAGCTGGGTGTTCTGGGAGGACGGGAGGGTGAGGAATGCTGACGTTCCCTCTCATCCAGCTCAGGCTGGACTACCTTGAAAAACTTCCTCCCGTATTTGATCTTTGCCCCTCGTCTCACACCCCACACACAGTGCCTGTGCCCAGCTCAGTGGACACAGAGAGCTTTGGTGGATGTGGGGCGAGGAGGAGCCGTGCTCAGAGCCTGGAGCTCTGGGTACACAGACAAGGCAGCCCGTTCTGGAGGAAATTCTGCAGTTCCCACATTCACACAGAAGTTGGGCTCTGGGTAGGACTTGCACAACAGAGAACTTCCCTGCTTTTGTTCTCCCTCAGCACAGCAGAAAAATCTACAGGAACACTCAGATAATGACCAAATAATTTGAAATTCTCACTGCTGTGGTGCAAACCCAAGTGTCTGGAATGTCTGTGCTACCCTTTTCATGGATTATAACACAGTAAATGTATGAGGAAAAAAAGAACCTCTCTGTCCTTTTAAATCACTGCAGGGAAAGATAAATCAGGGCTTCTGCCTTGTCTTGGCACTAAAGAGCCTTTCTTAATTCTTTTTTCCCTGAGAATTGGATGTTAAACTGATATTGGTATCTATGAAACAATATCCCTGCTTTGTGTCCTTATTGAAGTAGCTTCCAGTTTCTCAGTCTTGCAAAATTTCCAGCACATTAATTTGGCACAAATGATTTATAGCTGATGAGCAATTAAAGTACAATTTCTTTCAGCATCTCAGGCTTTGTGACTAGACTACTAAATGACTTCTCAAGCTTGCTTTATCGTTACAGGATAGCAGTGGGATGAATTCACAGGAGAAATTTATTCCTCCTTGCAGACCCAGCATCTGCTCTTACTGCAAATTGGAGCACTGCTCGCATTCCCCAGATAATTTCCTCAGCATATCTTTTGTACAGTCTTTCTTTGGACCTACAAGAGAGCTTTACTCTGAATTTCAGTGACAGTTTACTCTGACATTACAAAGTCCTTCCAAAATACCTGTTCTGTCTGGAACCTTTGATGTAGACTGATGCTTTGCTTAGACCTGTCAAGCCATTTCAAAACTAGAGGCAAACAAAACCTCTTGGTTTTTTCTTTCAACTTTTGTATTTGGAAGGTTAGCTCCCAGAGGCAAGTGTGGTGGAGAAAAATCAGATGAAAGTACTGGCTCCAAAGAGTCCTCACCTCCAAGTTGTTTAAATGTCAGAGGATGACATTTAGCTAACCACGTCTTGATTCTGCTCTAGTGGAGGTGGAAAGAACCAGAGTAGCTTCATGTAGACACTTCACCTTTCAGGAAAGGACATGACAGGTAGAGTTGTCAACCCTGCTTGGTTTTGGGAGGAACAAATAGCATGGAAATGAGCAGAAAGGGAAGGCAAAAAAAAAAAAAATAATCAAGAGATCCAGTTCTGACTGTCCAGCTGGGAGCTACACTGGGCTGTTTCGTTGTAGGATCCTTGTGGGATTCCCCTCGATAAGCACAATTAAAAGTGCACTGACCATACGTGTGACAGGATTCTCTTCACTACCACCTAGTGGGAAACTCCTTCATAGCCCAACTCCAGAGCTGCTCCTGCTCTCCAGCCCCATCCTGATGGTAAAACAGGGAACAAGTGTGGGGGGAGCCAATGGGTGACTGGGAAGGAGGACAGTCCTGCTTCCCCATACAGGTGGAGGAATGTGTAGAGAGAGCCTGTAATTTAACCCCATTATCTCACTGTGACTCCAAGCTCTGCATCCAGCCCAGTTCCTAATGCTTGTTACACCTTCCTTGGTTTCACTGAGACTCCCAAAGTGTAACAAATATAAAGAGTAAAATATCTGTCCTTCTGAACGCAACTGAAACCTGCAAACAGTGGCAAGGAGAAACCCAAGAAGTTGCTCCAGCGCCTCAGTCAAAAGGCAGCCTTGCACCTTCTTGGCTCTGGAAGTTTTGGTTGCACTATTAGAAGTATGGAAGGAGGCACCAATAAAAAAACCCAGCTTCCTTCTCTGGAAAATCACATTTTTCAACTACAATCTCATATTTACAACAAAACCTACTAAATTGGAACGTAAATGGGTATGTACTTGAAACATTAAACCCGTGTATTGGAGCGAGTCCTTCCCCACTGAGATACCCAGGGTTTGCACAAATAGCTGAAATCCAACCCCACGAAAACAACATATAAATGACAATTATCTCGGATTTTTCACACTCCTGTGTGCCTTTTGGGACTGAGCTCCCAAAGCACAAATAATCACCAGTTTTGGTACTTGTGTAGCTTTCTTCCCCCCAATAACAGAAACGAGGGTGAGCATTATCATAATAACTCTCACATTTCAAGGGGGGGATTATGTTAATGTCATTCAGGGCAGTAAAGCATTTAGCAGTCTCAGCAGGAAGAACATTAAAATGGTAAAGAATTATTAATAGAACCGTTTCTCTGTGTTTCTTTTGCCAGTGGCAATTTTGCCACCCTATTCAGGGGACTACACGGGCTCCCTCTGGAAGCACTTTTATCATAAATAAATTTAGGGTTTTTTCCTTCTCTGTATTCTCCTTGAGGCCACATTACACTGGCTTTATCCCAGCAAATTACTGTATTTTTCATCATGTACACTTAATAGTAGGTATTACTCAGTAAATTAAAACATCAGAGGTAAAAATGGTGTTGATACAAGAAACCAGGCACTGGGAGCCTGTTCTACCTTCCACACTGTTCACAGCACTCTCCTGTCCCTCACTGGGGCTTTGCCCAAGTGCAACAAGCAGAATGAAGACCAGCAGGAGTAAAATAAGAGTAATGTTCCTATTGTGTACCCATTTATACTTCCATGCAGTTGTTTTCAGTGTTAGTAAGTAATCCATTTAATTAGTAATTCAATATTACACGTAGCTGGAGAAGGGATTAATTTGAAACACTTAATCAAGACAGACTATTATTTACCAATAAAATAGAATTTCATTAGAGGAGCCCATGACATCCTTGCCTAGAAGGATATTGGAGGATGCTGGGAAGCCAGTTTTGTAAGATAGCTGTCACTGGATTGTCACACTGTCTGCTACTTCAGGAGAAGAAAATGCTTTTTTTAAAAATGCACAGAAGTTATATTCAAGTGTAGTAGGAGAACACAAAGTGTTGAACATGTTTAAATAATCTTTATTAAACTCACCATTAAAATAAAATAGAAATCAGACTTCTTGTGATTACTGATATATTTTTCCAATCTGCATCCAGACTGATTTGTTAATGGAACATTGTTTGTGAGCTTGCTGTTAAGCTGACCAGAATTAATGCCATAAAGCTGCTTATATCTTGTCAATGAAACACTGAATTTGAGGGGTCTCAACCACCAGATTAATTACACCTAAGGAAAAACAAGTGATTCTGCAGGGAAAAAAGTACAGAACCAAATACTGCAAACAAGCAGGTCTCACTCGGTGTCTCTGAAATTTAAAAGTTTCTCCTGTCACAACTACCATGATCACATTAATCAGAGTGACTGGAGAATCAAGTCATGGCCTGGGAAGTTGCTACAGTTCAGGAAAGCAACATATACTAAGCACGGGTAATAGAGGGGTTAGCAAACCCAAGACTCCTTATTTTAAATATTCATCCTCAAGGCACAAGCCCTGAGTACAATTCATTACAGGAGAACACTGGATTATGGCCAGACTCTGCAACTGAGCTCTTGCTCTACTACTAGAACTATAATCTAACTGGTAAAAGCTCTGCAGCTTCCACCCCTGACCTCTACTGTTCTCATCCCCTCACAACTGCACATGATGGCACTGGGAAATAGGATATTGCAGTCCCTAATGCCAGGGTGGAAAATAGGGATACTGGCTGATTTGCAGCAGGAATCCCTTCCATTCCTCACACCTGTAACATTTTAAGGAACACTGAAGAGCTCACTGGTTTTCCTGCAGTGAAGAATCTGCAATACTTAACGGAGTGCTGAACCATTCAGTGGCAGGTTCCACTCAATGGAAAGATCGAAGTGGGTAAGTCTGCTGGTTCTTTTGCTAATTCCCCAAGGCTTCTGCAGTTTAAAATGGACAGTTCTCACAGACCAAGGGAAAAAGCCCCTCAGGATAAAGTGGTAGAGAATATTTACCTCCTCCTTAGTATTTGAAAGGTTTCCATATTCAGCTAAGGGTTCTCCACATGGCATCCAGTTGTAGCGTTCAGCCAGGTCCCAGCATACAAACAGATGTTCATTTCTGGGTTTATGGACTTCAGAGTTCACTGGTTTCAAAAAAAAGCCTCTGCAGCTGAAGGTCTCCAAGGCAAGCAGAAGCAGCACCATCAGGCCTTCTGTGTGTATAAGGAATCCTTGAAACCACACAATATAGACAGATAATTTGTTGCTGTGCTTTCTTCTCTTTACAACTTCCATTGATAAATAACTGCTGTTCTTTGTTGAAACTTTATGGTCTGTGTCCCCATTTCCCCTCAAGCATTCAACAGGTTTATATACTTACAGAATATAGATTGGGCAACCTTTTCAACAGAACACTGGTAATATTTTCCATCTTGGTTTAGGTAAAAGAAATCACCATGCCAAAGAGAGGCAGAAATAAGTAACACAGTGTGACAATGTCTCCTCTGTCACATATTGCAAGAGTTCCACAATCTGTTGTCTCTGTTTGCAAAGTCCTCGAATTATAAGGCCATATCATGCAGAAACTATAATGTCATGGCAGGATGCTGTAATTAGAGTTGACAATTACTGTTATCAGCCAGTAACGTTGGCATGTCTAGCGGGTGGGGGGGGAAATGAAGGAAAATGTGATAACAAATGAAATGCATGGAAATGTGTCAAAACATTGACAGGACAATGCCAAGCTCACCATTCGTTTGCTCTCTGTTGAGAGCGTGACCAAAAATAAAACATTTAGAAGCTAAACATGTCTTTTTACATCAATGCTCGTGTGAAAATTTCTTACATTAAATGTTTTTACGTGGACTCCGAACTGTTACTTCTTTTTAGCCACACAAAGGAAGTCCTCTGTGTCCATCTGAGCTTTGTTAACACCCTGCAGGGAGGCCACGTGGTGCTCTGGGTGCAGCCATGTCTGAAATAAAAGCCAGCAGTTACAGCAGTCCCACCCCAGCCGGCTGTGCCCGAGGGAGGAGGGTCCTGCCCTGCTCCTGCTGACTCAGGAGCCTGGAGAGCACGGCCGATGGTGCCCACGATGGGAAAACAGGGGACAACGTGCCTCTGCAGCACTGCCTTGGGACACTACCCAGTTTGGGGACAGCTGTGCCAGGCTCCTGTAAGCTTAGGTTTGGTGGCAGTGTGTACACACAGGCAGCTGCCCCCAGGAAGCCTCTGTTGAGACAACACCTTTAAATCCTCCAAGGAATCACTCGTGTGAGACGCTCGTGCACATCAAGTTATTCCCTAATTTAGCCACTCAAAGTAGATAGATTCATTCATATCATTTCAGACCAGAAAAGACAATGTAGTTATGAGAACTGCAGAACTGGAGAACTGCTTTAAGTGACTCCAGCCGAGCCAGGGATGGTGTTTTAGGAAGTCACCCAATAGGTGGGAGCAGAACCTCAGAGCAGGGCTGGTATCAAGAAGGGATGGAGGAAGATGATAAATGGGAACCACAAGCCTGCCCAGAGCACTCATCGGAAGCAGAGGGCAGCTGATGATAGGGCAGGGATTTTGAGCATGAACCAACACCCATGGCTATTCCTTATCACACCCTTCAATCACAGGCTCAGAGGGGCAAGGCCTGCAATCCCCTGAATTATGTGGGAATAACTGCTCTTGCTCATCAATTAAGCAATAAACACAGCAAGTTAAAAGGAAGGTACTAGTGTTTGCATATCAAGATATCCAGTGAGCCAAATCCAGAGTGAAAAAAGACTTGATGTCACTTAAGACAAAATTCAGCTGGAGCTCCAGAACGTCCTACAAGCCTTGGGAACGTTCGTGTAGACCCCATGGTCACACTCCTCTGCTGAGGGGTAGCACAGAGGCCAGGGAAGCTGCCAGTGTGGCTTTCTCTCAGCCCAAAGAGCTCAGACTGGCTGAACTTCCCCACTGCCAGAGCTCTGAGCGGGCTCTGCGATATCCCAACAGCAGCACCTTCCACGAACACTGCGCAGCCCAACGCGGCTCTTCCTTCTCGGCGCTCCACCTCCTTCCTTCTCCAAACCTAACGGGGCCAGGAGAAAGCCATGCCTCTCCATCTTCCTGGTTTTCTTTCCATAGCTCACTTTTCCACGCTGCAGACCTCCTATCCTTCATTTTCCTCTCCTGCTTCCCTCCCTTTCCCCCTCCCCCTGCTTTCTCTCCCTCTGCACTTTGTGAACTGCTGCGGCGGTGCTGAAGTCCAAAGTTCAGTAACTTGCTAAGCACACAGATAAATATGAACCTTGGAGAATTTACATTGCTCCAATGTAAACAGATAGCCAAGGGTCCCTTTATCAGCACTGGCTCAGGACAGTCGTGGGGGGTCTGAAGTGGCTCAATTTTGTATTTTGTTTTTTTGGGGGGGGCGCAAAGGCGGGAGGCTGCGCTGTGCCCACTCCGCTGACAGTCGGGCGCGTTACCTCGGGAACATGGTGTAGGGAAGCTGCGAGCAGGATCACCCGAAACCCAAGAGGCACCGGGCTGAAGACCATGGTGTCGAAGCTGAGCCATCTCCAAGTGGAGCTGCTGGGAGCGCTGCTGGAGTCGGGGCTGACCAAGGAGACGCTGATCAAGGCGCTGAGCGAGGTGGAACCCTACGGGCTCCAGAGTGAAAGTCAGCGCGCCATCAATGCCCTGCAGACAGAGAAAGGGGAGCCCTGTCCCGACATCCCCAACCTCCCCAACGGAATCGGGGAGTCCAGGTTATCGGAAGATGAAACCTCCGATGACGGGGAGGAATTTACCCCTCCAATAATGAAGGAGCTGGAAAACTTGAGCCCTGAGGAGGCTGCTCACCAGAAGGCTGTGGTGGAAAGACTATTACAGTAAGGACAGATTTACTGCTCCTCTTTGCTGCTTTCTTGCACTCTCCCTCTAAATCTCTTCTCCTTTCCCCTTCTGCTCAGTTCCCTAGTTGATCTACCTGCACAGAGAGAGTCTTCATCCATGGCAGGACTAGCAGCCCACTATCACCCCCAAATTCTTTATAAATGCTCAAATTTTCCTTTCATCTCCCTTAAATGCATGAAGGAAGCCATGGAGCCCGATTCAACGTGTTTATAGCATCAGGCTCCAGAATAGTCCAAGGCCTGTAAAACCTGCATCTCTCTGACTGAGTGTCAGGGTTTAGGATTTAATTTTTTAATAGGATTCACAATTTCGATCATCAGGAAAGAAAAGAAAATTCGGTCACTCTGAGCTGGTGCTACATTTGCCTGAGGATATACAGCAAGGAGAATTTCTAATGTTTCCCTGCTGTATTTGAGGAGATTAATTCTGTTAATTTCACTGGGGTTTGATTATTGGGCAAAGACAAAGCAAGACAACTCGTTCTGAATGCAAAGTTCCCTGACTTCAGTGGGGATTTTTCTGGTAAAAAGAGCACACCCCAAATACATGCAAAGGTTAAAACCTGGACAGAACACTCTGCTTCTACCATCCACTGCCTGTCACAGCTACAAAGTACACGCACGGCAACAACCACAGCTTTCACTGCCACACAACTCTGGCAAAAAGCATTTTTGAGATCAAACGACAGGAAAAGTTCCCTGAACCAATAAGCCTCACAACAGACTGAAACATTCCCCAGGTTTCCCATTTGGGATTCTCACTGGGATTACAATTCCCATGGGTGACCCAAGAGGGTTGTCCAAGCAAGGATCGGGTCCATCCTACCATCTACCACAGCAGATTCTTGCCTGTTTTGGGGGTATTTTGAAATGGCAAGCTGATAGAAAACAAAGAGATGCAGCAATGTCCTGCACTTGAAATCTTCACTAAAAATCCATCTAGAAAATTTCTCAGGCTTTCTGATCACTCTCTTTCATGTGCAGAGGAAATCAACAGAAAATGTAACAGCACGAGCAAACATCAAATCCTACCACGAAAGGCCAGAGGTAGAAAAACAGCATGACAAGAGGCAGCATTCGCTGTAAATCCTTAAAAAAGCCCTCCCTGGCAGACTGAGAGTTGATGACTCTGCAGTACACAAGAGAGGGAAATTCACTGGATCAACTCTTACCTGGGTGGGGAAAGCATTCCCAATAATTCAGTCTTCCTTCTGGCCCAGTATGTCTCTCATTTCTTCCCCACTTCCAGTTCTGTCCTGTCTTTCAGTCTCCCCTGTTCCCTTTATCTCTTTCAAACTCTTTTTACCCATTTCCCTTCTCACTTCTGTCTCTGCTGCTGTTCCTCCCATGTTGTTGTCTCCTTGGCTGATTCTCCCTCTGCCTCCCACTCATTTTCTTCCCTTCATCCTTGTCTCCTTCTCATCTTCCTGAGTCTGCGTACAGGTCTTGGGGTAGTTTGAGCCCAGTGGCACCGGGCGGGCCCTGGCTAGTTACTAATTATCCAATGGCTTTATTATTTCTCTTTTGTCTTATAAATTTATAGATGAAAAGACCCTGATAAGCTTTTTGATCATTAACTTCTGATGGTTTATCAAGTATCTCTCCACAAAGGAAGCCATGGAAGTTGCAGAAGCCCCCCTGGCTTTGTCCCTTTTCCTGTAGTGAAGGGCTGAAGCAGGACTGAAGTGCCATCTGCTGTGATCCGAGATCAGACACAGGGATGGAGGGAATTCCTTCCTGCCACCCTCACTTCAGCACCAGTTTTGGCTTCTGATCCTCCCTGCCTTTCTAGGATCTTGCTGCCTGTGTGTCCTGTGCTTACTTTCACCCTCCCCACGAGTCTTACCTCTCTTGCAACCCCGTGACATTAATTATTAATACTTTCTGATGAACAGTCTCACGGCTGTCTCCAGACAGTCCACTGAGCAGCATTCCCATTTCATGAATGGCAACCGAGGTACAGACAAATTCTAGGACCTACCTAACCCCCTGAGACAGCATGCAGAGGACTGAGCAAGGACAGGGATCTCCTAAGCCTCACACTGGGTGTTAATTCCAAAAGCTTTACCCTGAAACAGCTGAGTTCTCTGTCATCAGTGCCCCCCTCACAGGATAGAGCAATTCCCTTCTGCTGTTGAGGGCAGTGTGAAGGCACCAGAAGCCTCAGTTTCAGCAAAAAAATGCAAGTATACTTATGGAGGAATACAATAGGTCTAAATTAATCAAGGTGAAATGAAAACAGCAGGAAGTCTGCACTGACATGTTTCAAATGTCTCCTCAAAGTGACTTTGTGTCTGAGAACCCATTCAAAGCAGCTGAACCAGTATCAGGGGTTGAGAATATCTCAGAAGTTGTGACCCACTAATAAATTTTTTTTGGTTTTAAGATGCCTAAAGGTAATGTCCTTAAAACAGTGTTTAAGTACCTTAAGGAAGGGCAGAACAGTCTATGATAGAAATTAGTCCCAGCAATAGATAAAAGAGAGGAAGGCAAGAATCTCCATGCCCAGGGAATCCCAATAAAAGGTCAATGCTTGCAAAGCTATTTCAGCATCTGCATAAGGATTTCAAACCCAGAAATCTGATGGAGGCACTTCTGCCTTTAGGCAGAAGCCTCTTTGGGCATTGTTAACAATTCCTGCCTAGTACTGTAGACCAGATTTTAACCGAGACTGACTTGAGGCAGCTATTGCTGATACAAGAAAGTCTTTGTGGTGACTGCAGCCATTGCTTATAAAGTAGAATCAGGAAAGTGTCCATTGTCAGGCTTTCCAGGAGCTGGAAAGGGAAAAAAATGACAGCACCAAGAGACCAAGTATGTCCCACCGCAGTTTGGAAAGCTCCAGTCAAAGCTGAGTAAAGCAGGATGTAGAGGAGGTGCACCTATGGGTGTTGATTAGATCTTGCCCCCACAGAGAAAACATGCTAAAGGCAGTTCAGATATTAACAGGGGAATTAACACATTTTCATTTTGTGCCTTCATATGTCTCACTGATCTTCTGTAAATTTACAGTTTGAATAAAAACATTCTTCCCATATCAATCCACACAGAAAACAAATTGCATCTGTGATAAGAAATAAATGACTCAGTAGGGAGTTTGAGCTGTGTGGAGAAACTCCCAGGTATTCCCAGAGTAGAAAGCAAGAGAGAGGCTACCTTGGGGGAAGGGACAGATCATTCAACTGCGGGTAAAGCAAATGGAGAGAGGAACAGCAACAATCCACCTGCAGGGCAAGGGGTGAAATTCCATTAGGAAAGAGAGAAATTGAGATAAGCAACAGATTTCCCCTGGAGGCAGGGATAAAAGTGTGTTTTCCAGGAGGAAAAAAAACCCCAAGATATATAATGATAAAGGTTCAGTCTTTCCCCCCACCTTAGAGTGGCTCTAGCTGGGGAATCTGCAGATGAAGCTGCCACACCCCTTTCATTTCCACATATAAACCAAGATGAGGCAAACCAGGCCAAGTTCAACAGAAAGAACTGCTGGGATGGATGGTCTTACCTTCCCTCTGTGCCCAGCCTGGCTCCAGGCTGTGCTGGGCTTCTGAAGCAGCTCCTGAGGATGGGCCAGAGGATGGTCCTGAGCACTTCACAGCCCTGAACCTCTGTTTGAGCAGGGTCTGGTCCAAGGCAGCAATGCAGAACCCACCTCAGGGAAATGAAGGCTTCTCTCACCTGAGAATCTGAGAACAGGAAAGAAGGAGAGACAGAGAGAATGAGGAAAAGGAGGGGAAAGACAGGAACAAAGGAGAAAGAAAGAAAAGTCAGGAAGAGCGAAGGAGGGAGAAGGTCCCCTGAATGTTACATCTCCAGCTCCCTGGGTTTTCTTTAATGCTAACAACTTGATATTTACTTTCCATTTAAATTTGAGATGTTGCTATAAATTATCAACCAGCCTCTTGTTCCCTTTGAGTTTATAACTAACTACCTGGGTTACTTATTGTTCAGGTAACAAAAGGGAGGTGAAAACGCCCTTAAAAAGTGACCTCAGAACTAAGAAAATGGGAAGCTGACATGGAGAGAGGACCCAGGCCCCTGTGGTGGGGATAAGCCATGGAGAGGGGCTGTGCTCAGATGGCAACAAGCAACTGAGGGCAGGAGAGCAAGACCTCAGGAGAAGTCAAAACTAACTGTGTGAGAAGAGTTTGGAGAGAGAGATTAGAGCCTGGAGAACAAGAGATGAATGGGGACACTCTGCATCTGGGGAGAAAGGGAAGCTAAAAGGCAGAAAACAGGCTTGGAGATAGGGAAGGCGAGCTTAAGGCAGACCCATTTCTGCAGTTCTGCCCCACTGAAGCAATTGAGAGTTTAGTGCAACTACAAGCAGGAGAACCAGATTTAGAGTGAAATCCTCCCCTCTGACAGTCCATGACAGTCTTATGGCCATGAAAGAGCGAAGGTTTCAACTTAGGATGTCTTAGCCAGTGGTGGAGGCTCTGCAGGTGGAACTGTGTAGTTGGGCATTGGTTCATGAGAGGGTTCAGCTGACCAGACTGTCATCACCTGTACTGTGGTGCAGCCTTGGCCCCAAGGATTGCTGCACTGGCATTACACACTGTGCTTTGACAGCATACAGAGTAGCCAGGATTTCATACAACTGTCCCAGGAAATCACACTGCTCTAAGATTCCCAGCACTGCTTTGCCTCACAGAGCTCCCTGCTTTGTCCAAAAGCAGACAAGAACCACAGGGCTTGAACCACTGGGAGAAGACACTCACAGGCACTTCCTGCTTTATTCCTCCCACTGAGAAGTGAGGATCTCAACAGGGGAGACAAAAGTGTCTCGTGATTGGTGTGCAGAAAGAAACCAACGTGTGACAGAGGCTTCCATCAGTGGCAACACAATCTTTCCTCTTCCCATCCCAGCCAGAACTCAAACCTGAGACCAGGCTCCCAGTCAGTCTTTTCTCCTCTATACAGGGACTTGTTCAAGGAGTGCAGGGTGCACGTGCTGGCCAGACCATCACAAAGGGAGCAGACTGGTTTAGGCAGCAGGAGTGAGAAAGAAAACACACCGAGGAAAGAAAAGCTTTCATAACTTCAGCCAAATGTGAGGCTCTTGAAAAACAAAGATGGTTAAGGGAAGAAGCTAAAAACCAGAAGTCTCTATGGCAAGTGTTCCATTGTAAAAGAGAAACAAATATTCTCTTTTAAGCAGGTTCTTCAGAAAGCTGCAGCTGACAACACTGTTTCTATCATACTTTAACTGCAGTGGAGCTGCTCCTTGGACTATCAGCCATTGGGAGGCTGCAGGAGAACAGAGATAAGGGTGTTTGCACTGAGAGAACAGGTGTGGACTTTGTCCTCCTTATCACTTTGCAGCCTCCGGCAACCTCCTGAGTCAACAGAGCAATGAGCAGCAGTCGGTGCCTGTTGCTCAGACACTGTGTTCTTGTGACAGTTTCTGCACGATCCCAGGTACCTTTTTTCTCCCCGCTGCTCCTTTGATGCTGGTGTTGAATGTGACACCACTGCCTTTCCACAGCAAGCAAACCAGTTCCTCCAGCCCTTTCGCACAGAAGGCACAGAAAGATGCTCTTGTTGAAGTGAGCCAGGGGCTTTTCTGCAAAGAGACCCCTGCACTGGTTGGATTTACACTGCCTGCTTTCACATCTTTATTGCTACTGTGACTGTCAGCTCTGGTGAAACCAATACACACAATGAAGTCACAGTCACGTTTTCTCTGTTTTCCTCAGGAACTTCCAGGGATGTTCTAACTGGAGATCATAAAACCCAGAGATTCACATTAACTATGAAATCCCAAATCAGGCTGGCTTCTCAAGTTTTGTGTGCAGGTCTGAAACAGGTCTATTCCCTCAGCTGTTACTCCAAAGGAGGGTGGCAACAGCAGGAATTGGTGGTTTGCCTGTTGTTCTTTATTGCATTTAGAAGCTCCAAGTGGCTCTAGGTGTGAATCAGTGTGTTTGAATAACACATAGCAGATGTGTAAGAACATAATCCTGGATGACTTGTCACACACATATGCATGCAGAGCTGTCACATCATAGCATAATGACAGCCTGCTTCCACCATTTCCTGAATTATTGCAAGGCAACCCAGCCTGGAACAGAACGAGGGCATGAGATGGGTTCAGCCTAATATCACAATCAATCTGTCTTAGAAGATTTAGTACATCCACCCCAAGCACCTATGCCTTAAAGAGAGGGGGATAGAGAAGCAAAGTTATGTAGGGAAAGGGAAGGGAAAGGTTGCCTCTGAAAAGAGATCTGTAGTAACAGAACATCCATCTGAATACTGAAATGCAACATCACTTCCCTCCTCATTCCATTCCTCACCAGCAGAAAAAGTGCCTTAAATCCACAGTACTTGCCAGGAGAAAGGTCCATTCCTTGCTCACATCACTGGTCAGCACTTTGTGTCATCACAGATGACAACTGCCTAGAGGGAACAGCCCAAAACTGGGTGTGAAAATGAGCACAGACAGCAAAGATTATGGCCATGTACTGGGAAATTGCCTTGGTAAGAGCCTCCTCCTAAGGGGAGATCAAAGTACCTACAAAGAGCAGTTCAAAGGAAGCCAGTGCTACATCTTCTGCCCTTGATTTCCAGTGCCACGCAGTTCTTACCCTGAATGCAGAGTCCAGACTGAACCAGGCACCCCACTGAGCAACTGAGCTTTCCCTCCTGCAGCCAGTGAACACTCTGGCCTCACCAAACATGCTGGTGATGACAGGCGAGGTGCCCCTCAGGAGGTACCAGTGCACTTCCCGGGAACCCAGGTCTGCTGGGAGCAGGTGTTTGATCTCTCTCCCCTGAGAAGTGTTTTCTGCTCCTTGCAGAGAGGATCCCTGGCGAGTAGCAAAGATGGTGAAATCCTACCTCCAGCAGCACAACATCCCTCAGCGTGAGGTGGTGGACACGACTGGTCTGAACCAGTCCCACCTCTCACAGCACCTCAACAAGGGCACTCCCATGAAGACCCAAAAACGGGCAGCCCTGTACACCTGGTATGTCCGGAAGCAGCGGGAGGTGGCGCAGCGTAAGTACGGCACCAACTGCTCTCCTCTCTCCTCCTCAGAACGGCCTCTGCTCGGCCTTGATCATCCTTGCTCCCTCCTCTTTTCAAGGAAAAATGGAAGCAAAAGCCACTTTTAGCAGGAAGCAGCAGTGACCCACCTCCCCCTCTGGACGGCTGAGGGGCAGCCACCTAATGCTGCCTGCTTGCAGTTAGAGTTCTACACCCATCCTCAGAACACAGCAGGCCAGTGGGCAGATGACAGACACAATTCCTGCCTGAGAGGAAACGGCCCCAAGTTGCACCAGGGGAGGCTTAGATGGGATATTAGGAAAAAATTCTCCGCCAAAAGGATTATTAAGCACTGGCACAGGCTGCCCAGGGAAGTGGCAGGGTCACCATCCCTGGAGAGATTTAAAAGACAGGCAGATGTGGCACTTGGGGCCTTGGCTTAGTGGTGGATTTGGCAGTGCTGGGTTAATGATTGGACACGATGATCTTAAAAATCATTTTACGATTCTGTGCTTTCTCTAAACTCAGCTGTATTTGCTTTCACTACTCCAAGGTGTGAGCAGAGATGCAATGCATGTGAGAGAACCACCAGGTAAAGATGGTCCTGCTAGAAACATCAGTTTTAGCAGATTATGGCACTTTATTTTCACAATATTTAGATTCAACCCTCTGTCTCGTACAAGATATTCTCCAAGGGTGAGCTGCACTGGGCCTGCTAGGAAATGCTGGAAATGCTTCCAAAAAGCCAATATCCTTGCCCTTTTGTGCCTGCAGAATTCACACACGCTGGGCAGGGGATCCTGACGGAGGAGCCCATGGGAGATGACCTGCCCACCAAGAAGGGAAGAAGAAACCGCTTTAAGTGGGGTCCTGCCTCCCAACAGATCCTGTTCCAGGCCTACGAGAGGCAGAAAAACCCCAGCAAAGAAGAGAGGGAGGCCCTGGTGGAAGAGTGCAACAGGTGAGGGTGGGCGTGTGGCTCTGAGGAAGGGGCCCAGCAGGGCCCTCTGTGTCCCTGGTGAGAGGCAGGGAAGGGCACAGCAGTGGTGTCACCACTGACACCAGCCCCGTTGGAGTGAGACGCCCAACAGAGGACAAGGAATGCCTCGTGCCTTGCTGTATGAGGATCCCCCAGCCCCTCTGGGGCTGTGCACTTACTCTGTGTCCCCAGCTAAGCCCGGCTCAGCAAGGCTGTCCCTGTGCTTTCCCCAACAGGGCTGAGTGTATCCAGAGGGGAGTTTCCCCATCTCAGGCCCAGGGACTGGGCTCCAACCTGGTGACAGAGGTCAGAGTTTACAACTGGTTTGCCAACCGCAGGAAGGAGGAGGCTTTCCGGCACAAGCTGGCCATGGACACCTTCAGTGGACCCCAACCCACCTCTGGCCCCTCCCTCACTCCTCACAACTCCTCCTCTCTCCAGCCACCAGCTGCTCTCTCACCCACCAAAGTTCACGGTAAGAAACAACCAGAGGGAGATGTGGAAGAGAGGATGAACCTCCCCAAAGCCAGTCACCAAAACTGCTCCCACATCCACCCCTTTAGGAGGTGAATCTACAGACAGAAAAAGCAGGCTTGCTACAAGGGAGGAGCACAGGTGGCAAAGAGACCACGTCTGTGAGTGAGGAGAGTGGCTAGAATGGCAAGGGTGACAAAGTTCAGTAACAAAGCTCACAGCCAAAGCTGCCACTCACTGTGACCCCCTGCCCTCCCTCCCAGCCAGCAGGCAGCAATCCCCTTTGGAGGAGTCATCCCTGCCTGCTGCTAAAAGTCAGCTCCATATCCTTTCACCTGTGTGTCCCTTTCTCCTTCCAATACCAGCCCCATCAAACTTCCTTAGGATCAGGAAGGGTCATTCTGCATCCAAAAAGAGCAGAGCTTTTGCAGCTTCATAGGCCAGAGCTGGGAGTTGCTCTGAGATGATCTCACGACTCTCCTCCCTACAACCACATCCAGAAGGGTGGTTTCTAGTGAACCCTGCTTGCTCCCTGCAGCACTCACAGCCAGGCAGGATTTGAGGAAGCAGCTGCACCAAGTTACAGAGGAAAGCCAGGGCAGGGTGTGAGAATGCCTGTTCTTCTGCTTCCCCTGCCATTAAGTCCCTGCCCAAATATCTGGAGGCAAGTGCCTGCAAAGGAACCTGAATTTAGCACCTGTCAAAGTTTCTCAGTTTCTCATTTTTGACAGCGAGTTTCCCTCCTGTTGTGATGCAGGAGTGAGGTACAACCAGCAGCCAGCCAGCGAGGCAGAGTCCTCCAGCAGCAACCCCCATGGGAACAGCTCCATGGTGACCACCCAAACCATCCTGCATCAGGTTTCTCCCCCGGGACTGGAGCCCAGCCAGAACCTACTGAGCACAGACACTAAGCTGGTAAGTGATGGATGCCTCAGTTCTGCTGACTGGAGGACATCAGCTCTGCTGACTGTGGTCACAACGTGGACTATTCAGAAGTAGTTTTTCCCAGGATTTTCTTAAACCCACCTTTTTGTAGAGATACTACAAAGTCACTTTGCACTGACCACATAAGATCAACAGTCCTGAGACACAAGTGCCCTCTAAACTGCAGTGAGGGCAGGAATCAGAGCATGAAAGCAAGAAGCCATTTCCTTATGAGCAATCAAAACAGCCTATCCTGAAAGCACAGCACTCCAGGTATGACAGTTTCCTTCCTCCCAGGAAACCCTGTTCTCTCCTCCTTTCCACAGTGAGGTTCTCACCTCCTCTCCAATTCTCATTTGACCTTGACATATCTCAGGATAGTTGATCAGACCAGTGGGATTAACAGAACACAGAACCACATCTGTGAAAATGAAGCCCAACAGCCTGTATGCAGACAGCACTGGATATGCAGACTGCAGCAATCCACCTTCTCAAAGCCAATTTCGCTGTGAGATCTGATTACACCTTTTCCCACATAATTAGCAGTGAAGCCCTAGAACTACAAGACTGATTATTTTCAGATTGCACATGTTCCCATGCTTACAGAGAAACAGTTGGCAGAAGTTTGCATTGGTGCAAGCTGGCCCAAGGCAAAGTTAAGGTCACTAAAAATGAGCATGATTTAAATCTCATCAGTCACTCACTCACTTTGCTGCTTTCTGGTCTCTTGATGAGGAAAAAAAGTCTTTCATGAGGTCCTGAAAATCTTCTACGTCTGTCTTCTAAACTGATATCAAGGTGGTTTGTCCCACTGTTTAACCTCTTGGTGCTTATTCTTACTAAAGGCTCCTTACAGCGTTTTGTCTGAGGGGAGAGAAAAAAAGGTATAATATAAAGCACTGAACTTTCTCTATCAGCCAAATTATTAGAATGTTTTTTTGCTCTTCCACAGTACTTTGATTGCAGGTCTCTCTAAAGGACCCTGCAAACTCAAAACCCCACTGGAGCACAGACACAGGTTATGTGGTTCATTTTAGAGACTGAGAAAACAGTCAAGTTACTAAATTTCCCAACTCAATCAGCAAGACAGACAAACACAGAACAGTCCTGTTCTATCTAACAGGTACTTCACAGGTAACACAGCCTAAAGAACATGCTGTGTGACAAAAATAGTCTAAGGAACTTTTAAAGCAAGTCCTTTAAAATCTCACTCCAAAGGCTCAGTGGCCATGAACAGACGCTTGCAGGGAGAAGGGGGAATTACAGGCATTTCTCAGGGGAAAAGGTGAACAAGAAAAGGGGAACTCCTGCATTCTGTGCTGAACTCTGCAGCTACAACTACTGTGTACCCAAGCCTCTTCATTTCTCTGAGCATCACCTTCTGCCCTTAGCTGTGAAAGATATTCTTTCCCTATAGAGAATGCAGTGGGCCTGATCTCAATCCTGTTCGAAAAAAACTTTACGATTTCTTAAATGTGAAACAACTCAACCAGTAGGGATTTACTCTCAGTATGTCAACATCTGACCTGTGCTAATTAACTGAGCACAGGGAAACTGCAGACAAGCAAATGTGAAGCCTTCCTGGTTAGCAAGGGGTCAGAGCAGGCAGGCCTTGCTGCAGGTTTCTCCTTTCCCACAGGTGTCAGCTCCCGGAGGAACCCTCCCTCCTGTCAGCACCCTGACTGCCCTGCACAGCCTGGAGCAGAGCCCACACACCCTGAGCCAGCAAACCCAGAACCTGATCATGGCATCCCTGCCGGGCGTCATGGCCATCGGGGCAGGCGAGACCCCGTCCCTGGCACCCGCCTTCACCAACACCGGAGCCTCCACCCTGGTCATCGGTGAGTTGTGCCTGCCAGCACTCACACAAACGCTGCCTCTCACTCCCACAGCCACCTGCCTCCTTCCAGGGGCCAAGGCACTAAGCTGGCAGTGACACACGAGAGGGATTGTCACTCAGGACCTTCAGCAGCACTTGGTAATTCCAGGTTCCAAGGGGATTAAGGGACAGACGTTCCTCACGTTAGAATTGTGTGACACACAAACCCACGTCTTAAGAATAAGGGACTTCTGCAATCTATTCCTATGCCAATGTTTTGGGTTGCTGCTCTTCATCTTCCCAAATATAAATGTAATACTTCCTTAAAACTATGAAAATTGAAGCATGTTCATGGTGCTTGAAAGACAAAACATACTGTTCCACTTCCTGCGAGGAGCAGCATATGCCTTTGGATTCCACAGTAATTACTATTTTTTTATATTTTTCACTTTAACAGCTTTTCTGGACTTGTATGAGATTTCTTTTCATTCCAAGACTAGTCTACTGCCAAAGTGCATCTCATTAGATACAGGAAAACAAAATGTATACTCTTCTCTTACACTGTCTTCCCAGGAAGAAAGAGGCCTTATTTTGTTCTATGGTGACAGCTCTGAATTCATTTCCATTTCCATTTATACCACACATTATGATACGGATTCAAATTCTGTGCAAACAAAAAACATAAAATTGGAGTGCTGGAGAGACTTGTTGATTTACAGGAATAGGGTCTGGGCAGTTGTGGGAAAAGGGCAGTAATGTGTGAAACCTTGTACCTCTTTATCACTGACACAAATTCCATGATTTGGCAGCCCTAGCAAAAAGAGGTTAAATGCCACTCTGTGTGGCTGGACAGCCACAGCCTACTTCTGTTGCCAAGAGCTTCATTAAAAAGAAGAGTAAAATTAACTGGGCACTGCAAGGATGCTCTGAGTTTACTTCTGAGCAAGGCCTCCCCAGTGGACCTCTGTGTCAGGTCATCACTAAAGTGGAAAATGGGCTACACTGGTACACAGGGATGCAGAGGGGAGCAAGCACTGGGAACCAGAGGTGGGGTTCTGCACATTTTGCACATTGCCACTTCCCCCTCACAGGCATGAAATCTATTCTTCATCACAGATAACTAATGAAACTCCTGAAAAGCAGGATCTGTAATCACCCTACAACGACAGGGCTGCCACAATGACTGTGTGACAGCCACACTCAGTGTGTGACACCACTGTCATCAGTCCTTGTTTTCCAGGCCTGGCCTCAACCCAGCCCCAGAGTGTACCTGTGATAAACAGCATGGGGAGCAGCCTCACTACCCTGCAGCCTGTCCAGTTCTCCCAGCAACTGCACCCGTCCTACCAGCAGCCCCTCATGCAGCAAGTCCAGAGCCACATCAACCAGAGCCCCTTCATGGCTACCATGGCCCAGATACAGAACCCTCACGGTAAGAGCACGAGCTCGTTTGCTCAAGCAAACCAAAACAAAGCCTCTGTTCTGGAGCATTTGCTGGGAACTGGGCTTGCAGCACTCTGGTTCCCTCCTCTGCTACTGTTTCTCTAATTATTTTTCTACTGCATTCATCTCCCTGTCCCTCCACTCCCAGTGTTTGAGACAGACACGAGGAGAACCACTCAGCCAAAGCAGCCTCATGCAGAGCTCCAGCATCCACATGACCTTGTGTTCTTTCATGCACAGCTCTCTACGGCCCCAAGTCTGAAGTGGCCCAGTACACACACACAGGCCTCTTACCACAAACCATGGTGATAACAGACACGGCCAACCTCAGCGCCCTGACCAACCTGACACCAACTAAACAGGTAACAGCACGTGCCTCTGCTCCCCCACCTTAGAACTGCACCAGTCTGCAGGCAGCTCCTTGCTTGTCAAAGAGGTTTTGGGTGTGTGGTGTCTGTGTCATCCCAGCAGGACCACCTTTCTTATCTCCTCTCTGGTGCCAGCTGCAGTACTGGAGGCACTAGAGAAAGCTCCTCACTGCATCACCAAGGGGGATTTAACTGTCCTGAGAAACAGCACCTGCTCATCTCTTCTCTCACACCTGTTAGAAGGGGTGTAGAAGCCAGACATTGTCAATTCTCTGTTCTCTAGGCATTCACCCCTGACTCAGAGACTCACACCGAGTCTGGGATGCACACACCAGTGTCCCAGGCACCAACAATCCACCTACAGAACCAGGACACCACCATCCAGCACCTTCAGCCAGGCCCACGCCTCTCCTCGAGCCCTGCGGGTAAGAGCAGCACCACTATTGTCTCAAACCACATATTGCCCAGTTTCTCTTCCCAACACTGCAAAACCCAGTTAGGAAATGGTAACTGGGGCTCACAATTCCCTAAGAGGTCTATAACAGTGTCCTGAAGGGGTCAAATAGCTGGTACAAGTTAAAAATTCAGAGTACATTCTGTGTAAGGCCAGACTGGGGGAATGGGTTCCTTCAGAAACTAGAGAGGAAAATGACCTTAAAAACATTGGCAGTGTCGATGAGTATCCAGTCCTGTGGGCAGTTTTCAGGGCTGAAAAGTCCAAGGCTCCCTCATGAAGATACTCCAGTTGAATCTTCCCAGTTCTAAGAGAAGAACTAGGAGATCACCTAGAATCCTCAAAACTGAACTCTGAGGGTTGCTGCCCTCAGTGTTTTCAGGACACAAGCTGGGTATGTAACAGCACACAAACCAGACAGACAAAGGGAGTTAAGCCCCTGTGCCAGGGGAGTGCAGCCACGCTGGAAAGGTGAGGGTGCACACACAGGGTAAGGGGCCTGCAGTGGGGATTGTACTGACCTCATGCCTTGCCTTTGGCAGTGTCCTCCAGCAGCCTGGTGCTGTACCAGAGCTCCGACCCCACCAACAGCCACAGCCAGCTGCTGCCATCCACCCACAACGTCATCGAGACCTTCATCTCCACACAGATGGCCTCCTCCTCCCAGTGATCACCACAGCTGCCCCCAGGGTGACTCAGGTGCAACTCCAGCCGTGTTTGCCATCACTGCCACCTCTGTCACCACGGGCAGGAAGGGCTGCTGTGCTGAGCCAGCCCCCACTGCCTCACACAAACCCCTGCTCAGCTGCCTCCAGGAGAGGGAATGTCTCAGGCTCCAGACAGAAGCCATAGGAAGATGATGCTGGCACTGCTAGAATCCACTGCCTCCCCCCAAGAAACAGCAAACCTAAACCCCACAGGCCACCACAGAATGACCAGACATCCTTTTGTGGCTGCCCAAGAGGGAATCCCACCAAGCCAGGGATGTGACTGAAACACGGCAGCAGTGCCAGGGCCTGGATGGGGCTTTCATTTCAGCTCAGCTTTCACCAAGCTGGGCCTGTACAAACCTGCCAACACCAGACTAAGCCATGCAGGAAAGAGCAAAGCTAAGCTGCCAAGGAAGGGACACCATCTTTAAAACACTCTCCTCCTTTGCTGAAGGAGCACCAATGATAACAATAACAGCACCTTGGAGGCAAGAGAGAGAACTTGGTTCCTGACTTTGCAATGAAAATCACCAAGGAGCACATTTGGGAATGGCTTGGCACAAACCTGTCAGTGTGGGATCACTGACTACAAGCTACAAATCCTTAATTAACCACCAAAGTACCAAACATTCTCAGTTACAAATGACCTGCTCTAAAATCATGCTATCCCAGTGGAAATGGCTTGGTTATTTTTGATATAGCTCTGCTTTGTTTTAAATGCAGAAATTAAAGTTTAACAGCAGCAAGGAGATTCCAGTTCTTTGCATTAACCCTGTGGATCCTCATCTCGTGTGACTTGCTGAACGAGTTGGAGGATGGCATTCCCCACCAGTCCCTGACACTGCACAACACCTGGGAGGTCCCCAAGCTCCACAGAGAGTAGAGGTTCCTTCAGCTTTCTCTATAAACATGTCAGCTTGGATCCATTTTACAGAACATGGCTCATTCTTGGCTTCCCTGTAGGCTCGATTCTGTAGCTCTTGATATGCAAATAATCACCCCGGGGTCTAAGAGTCTTGCCTGCACTAAGAGTAGGGTTTGAGTCCCAAGGATCTACTTATATAATTCCTTTCCTAATTATTCCTCTCTGTTTACTCTCAGTGCTCACATCACTGATGTGTCATCAGCCAGACATGAAGAAATTGAACTACTCTTCCCACTGTGAAATGGATGAAAAGCCTTGAGACTAGAATGTGCTCAAGACTCTTAAAAGGTTAAGTTAGAAGGGAAAATTAAAAAAGGAAAAGCCCAACAATGAACTTTTCAGTTTTCCTATCTGGAAATTACAAAATTGCAGACGTCCATCACAGGTTTCACTGAGAGGAGCTTCCTCTAGACACCATCAACTATTTCAGTCACTAGATTCTCTGAGGAATTTTACCCTAGAATTGTTTCCAAATTTCCCATCAGTTGCAAATATATACATAACTTCCAACCAGCACAAAAGTAATCTTAAATCAAAAGGTAACATTCAGGCCGCTATGCATTTGAAAGCCCAGGTCCAAGCTGCAGTGAACTGCAGTTTGAACTGCCCCTAAGAGAAGTAACTTCTGCTGGCACATTCAGTTAGATTACAAGCCAATTTTCTACTTTGCTTTTCCATTTTTGGATGCCAACTGTGTTTTCTTGACTGAAAACCAGCAAGGATCTTACAGCAGGTTTCCCCCACTCAAAGAGCAACAATTCACTATTTTGGTTTCTCTAATCTGGCTCTCTGGTCTCCTGATTAGGGCAAATAAGCTGGATCTACTGAAACCCAACAACCTTAAAAGAGAAGAAGAATATTTATTAGTAACAGGTAATTTCCTGAAAGGCTGGAACTGAAGCATAAACAGACTAAGAGTTATACCAAAAACCATCAAACCTCAGTGTTTTGGAGACAAAAGTCATCATCAACCCAACCAAGGACCGAAACAGGGTAATTTTTAAATTAGGCTTAAGTCCTTCCTGTAGCAATATCATAGCAGCTCAAGAGCCACCCTCAGCCATCTCTGTCTCTGCTGGGGAGAATCCAAACACACCAAGAAAGCCACTGTTGCACAAAGCCTACCAAATTAAATGAGCCCAATAGCGTAACAGAATTTAATAACAACAGATGCCATAAAAAACTAAACATGAAAAAAAAATAAATGTCAGTGGACACAACTGAACAGCAGGAGCCATTTATACCAACCCTGACATCAGCTCCCTGCACACCGTGTATGTGCTGGGGCCCTGCAGAGGTTGCAGATTGCAGAGGGATTAGTAACACTGCAGGTTTCAACAACAGATTGTTATGATGATCACAGGAAAAAAAATAAGGGGGCCCTGGTATCTGAAAGGACGCTTTTGATAAATGAGTCTCCCACGGGCTGCAGTTATTCTTAGTAGGCGCCTACAAGAGGCAAAGAGAAAAGGGAGTTGATCACCTGTTGCCATGAAAACCAAATTCAATTCATCATGTACTTTCTCCAGGACATCAGATTTGGTTTCGTGATGTGAAGAGGCAGAGCAGGAGGGATGCAGCTGTGATTACACCCCTCTGTCACACAAGGCTGCCACAGGATTTCGTCCTTTTAGGCTTGGCCTGCACAAGCAGCAGCACAGACAAGTGCTGTGTGAGGAGAACAATGTTCCCTTCCTCAGGGGTGCCAACACCACAGGAAGTCCCTTAATTAGTCTCTCAGGCCACTGAGCTTTTAGAACAGAAGCTTTGCCAATTAATTTTCCCTCCTCTTCAGCAACTCTGGTTGTTGGGTTTTCTTTCAGTTTCCCTCATCCATCACAGGTGCCTGCTGTTTGCAGAGTAAAAATCATCATTCTAATTTTTTCTTCTTCTTTTTCTTCCTCACAGCTCCTGGCAGCACTGAGTTGTCCCCATGATTGCTGTTCTGTCTCTCCTGCTGTCCATTTGCAGACACCAACCGAGACAAATCTTTGCAGATCTGGTCACACTCTGCTGGGTCCATTCTTTTCTCTTGAATATTGTTCTCTCCCTTAATTTTCTTCTTTTTCTTCTTCTTCTTCTTTTTTTTCTGGTTGTGCTCTACACAGCCCTGACTCTGATCCTGGCTGGAATCCTGGGACAGTGCAGGAAACCCACTTTGCTTCAGAATATCTGCAGCTGACACAGCAGCCTCCTGGAACCTTTCCCACTCCTGGTCACTGTCCGTGTCACTGGCAAGGGAACAAGAGGGAAGGAGGTTGTGTTAAAACTTTTGCCTTGAATTCACCCAAAACTCAGCAGAGTAATCTGAGATGAGAACATGTGATAAACACCCAGTGGCTCTGGGACTCCCACACCTACAGTCTGCATTTAACCAGATGGAAGGCCAGGTGTTCTTTACACACACAAGGAGGGGAAAGAAAATCTCCCACAAACATTTCTAGTTCCCTCAGCACCAAAAAAAAAGAAACAAAATTCTGGTCTAGTCATGAATAAGAGTCAGGAATGCACACTTCTCCAGCTTTTCAGCTTCCCGTTCCCTTGTGGGAGTCCCAGCTGCCTCTGAAATGTGGGATGCAACAGCCCTTGAGGAGCAAAGCAGCTGCCAACACCTCACCTGGAGCTCGCTGGGCGCCTTCTCCTGGCTGCAGGGCAAGGCTCTGGTTTCCCACAGTCTCCAGGGACAGAGGAAGAGAAGAGCCGAAAACCTGGAGTATGGGAAGGGGAATTTTAGGCATGATGTAAAACAGAGGTGAAAGCAATCAACTGCCATCTCCCTGGAAGCCTCTCCTCTCAGTAACTGCTGTTGCTGCATTGCTACAGTGCTTGACAGCAGTTACTGGGGACTGTGTGGGAGCACCTGGGGCACAAAGGTCACAGCTGCAAAGCAACAGCCCTCACAGGCACTAAGAAAAACCTTTTATTGCAAATGTTTATTAGCTGGGTGTACAACTAATTAGCTGGTGATGGACAGGACCCATCCCACTTGTCATCACTGAACTAACACAGCCCCAGTGGCTGGGACTGGAACTCACCATCATCTGCAGAGTCAGACTGTGGCACAGAGGTCTGAGAAGGTCCTGATGAGTCCTTGAAGACAGTGATGAAACTAAACAGAAAACCCCAGTCAGATCTTAGGTTTGTGCAAACTCAGCTCAAGTTGGATATTTCTGGGAAACAAGACTAGAGAGAGATGTTACACTTTTTTTTAGTGAGGCTGCCTCAGGTCCCTGCTTTCAGGGCAGACCAGGCCCTCTCCCCTCAGCAACACCTCACAGGAATGATTTAAAAGCAGCCTTTCTAAAGCCAGCTCTAAACACCAGGAATTCTAGTTCTCCAGGGCCACATTTACACAATGAACAGCCCGGTCAGAGGCCCACTGCCAGCACAGCCCTGAACTGGGCACTGCTTTGACTGTAAGAACAAATGGAACATTCCCATGCCACTCTTTAAAGGAACAAAGGCTCCCAAATTTGACTTTTTTCCCTCCCCACAGAAGCAAATGGCCCCAGGCAGTGCTGCACAGGATCTTTACCAGAGGGGCACAGCACATCAGCAAGGAGCAGGGAACACTGGAAGCTTGCACCAAATACAGGAATGAAGGAGACAAGACGATGTTGAATTTCCTGGGTTTAGCACACAAAAAGCATCAGTGTGGCTGATCCACAGAACAAACCTTTTCAGCCTTGCCTGCCCATACCTGTCCAGCATCGCTCCCAGTTTCCTGGCCACGTGCGCTCTGAACTCCGGGGTCGTGTGGAGCTCGTTGTCCCCCTCCTGCCGGCCGTTCACCTCCCGCCCGTTGACAACAAGAACAAGGATTATTCTCTTTCAAGGCCAGAAACACCCGGTGCCCTCACCCAAACAGGAGATAAGAGACTGCAATATGTGTAACTGCACTAATTCCGTCATGGGACACTTACAGAGCTGGGCGGTTTCTGACAGTGGAACTAAGGCTGTAAATGACAGCAGCAATAAGTTTTCAACGTCTCTATTTCCCTGCTGGTAGAGGGATGACAAATGTACTTACAAAAAACTTACTATCTTTTTCAGATTTAACCATCATTTCAGATTATGGTTGGGTTAATTCCCAAACTGTCCTTTTCACTGTCACTGTCCCTTCCAGTGACAATTATCACAAAGTATTAACTGTAAATAGCCCAAGTACAACATACATTATTTTTTTCTTCAGTGAAACATAAAACTCTGAAACCAGAAGCAAAAATACCTCAGGCTTGGCTGATCCTTGGGCTGTAACCGATCCTTCCTAAAGCCACCTGAAAAGGAAGAAGTAAAGGCACGTTTGAAAGATGTGCTCCAGGACCTCTTTAACGACCTCTTTAACTCCCTTCAGCCATATGTTATAGCATAAAGAACCGTGCCCGAAAGACAACTCTCGCCCACTTTTGGGAATGGGGGGCGGGGGGGGAAGTTATGAGGGGAAAGGGAAACTTGGCTCCGGCCAGTCCTGTCGGGAAGGGGCTCCGGGCTGGAGGCCGGGCAGGGCCCCGCCTGGCTCCCACACCGGCCCCGCGGCACAGAGGAGCCCCCGGGGCAGGAGGCGCTGCGGAGGGGCCCGGAGAGGAGAGGGAGAGGAGAGAAGAGAGGAAGGGCAAAGCAGAACGCGCGGAGAGCAGAGCGCGGCTGTTCTCGGCCCCTCACCACCGCGCGGCTCCGCCCGTGGTGCCGCCACCGCCGCTTGCGCCGCACAGTCCCAGGCGGCCTCCCGGAACCGCGCCGCGGCCTCGCCGCCGCCCTCCGCGTCCGAGTCCGAGTCCGAGTCCGAGCTGCTGCCGGTGCCGGTGCCCGGGCCCGAGCCGCCCCTGGGCGCCGCCATGCTGCAGACGCGCGGCATGCCGGGAGCTGTGGTCCAATAGCGGGGCATGCCGGGAGCTGTAGTCCCAGAGCGGGGCATGCCGGGAGCTGTAGTCCCACCGTGCCTCCTGCGCTCCCCCACCCAGCTCTCTGGACATACCCAGTGAGGAGTCCGAGCTGATCTGAATTTCACATGTTCATTCTTGTTTCAATCAACATCTGGAGGATATGGCTCCTACCTCTGGGGTCTTGTTAAATTCTTTTTAATCAGTTTTTACACCGAGATGCCAAATTTTTGTTTGAATGCAGAAGCTGTACCAAATCCTGCTGCTTTACTGACCAGTTGAAATGAAGAGTGCTTTGTTAGAGATTTTCACGGACAGCAAATACACTGCTCCTGAGGGTAGGACTGCCTTGTGTGCTCCCCATGCCACCACCACTGCCATGTTCACACACCACATCTTCACCTCAACTAGAAATTTATCAGTGTGATACTTCAACACATTTGGCAGCTCCAGGAGGGCTTCTGGGTGACCCCTTTGCCATGGGTTTTGCCAGGGCTCTGTGCTGCCGAGAGCAGCAGGAAGGCTCAGTAGAGCTGTGTTTTTATACTGCTGAACACTCCTGGCTTGCACGTTCCACCCTTCACACTAGAGATGTGCAGTCTCAGACAACGTGTGAGGTGGACCTCTGACAATATCCTTGGGCTCCTTCCAAGAGTCTCCCTTGGCACTAACCCCCCTTAATTTCTTAACTATTCCCTCATAAGGCTCACCTTCAGCTGGTTTAAGATTAACCCACTCTCCACTGCGTAAAACAAGCAGTTTTGGGGCTGTTTCGTACCTTGGAGTCCTCAGGGCTGGTGAGGTGCCCTCAGAGCTGGGACACACCCTCCAGAGGTGCCTTCTCAGGCATCTCTCAGTGCTGACCCATTCCCTCAGACCCCAGGTCACCTCCTCTCCCTGCCTCTGGTCCCTCTGACCCTGGGGTTTCTCAGAGCCGCACAAATACCTTTACCAAGCTCTAATACCTTTATCAAGCTCTGTTTCCATCCTGGAGATGCTCCTGTGCTCCAATCCTAGTGCTCTGCTCACATCTGTTTGTTCACATCTGAACAATTTGTCTCCCTTAAAGCTCCTTCCTTTTCCTTTTCCTTCCCTCCCTCCCTCCGCGTTCGGCACGAACTTTGTGCTCTCCCCAGAGGCCGCCGTTTGGACACCTCCCCCGGCAGCCCAGCCAGGGCAGCCGCAGCGCTCGGGGCGCGGGCTGGGAACGGGCCGAGGTAACGCCCGAGCGCGGGGTCTGGGGGCGCCCAGGCCGGAGGGGCCGGCGGGGCAGCGCCAGCGGGCCCGGGTGCGGGGCAGCCGCGGGCGGTGCGGGGCGGATCGGCCCCGGCCCCGGCCCGGCCCGGTCCCTTCCGCCGGCCGCGCTTCCGGCCCGTCAGGTGACGGCGCGGGCGGGGCGGCTGCTCGAGCGGGGCCGGGGCCCGCACCGCCGGTGAGCGGGGCCGGGCCGGGGGCGGCGGGGGGAGCCGGGGCTGCCCTGGGGCTCCGAACGAGCGGGCGGGGGCGCGGCGGGACCCCCGGGGCCGCCCGGTGGCTCCGGGGCCGCGGCAGGCCCGACCTGTGTCCGGCCCCGGCCCGGGCCCGGCGGTGCCGGCCGGGGTTCGCCCCGAAACCCCGGGCTGGGGCCCGCAGGGGGGCCGTGTTCGCTCTGCGGCCGGGCCGGACCCGCTGTCGCGACAGATGGGTCCGGCTCTGGGTACGTAGAGGGGTCTGGCGCTGGGAATGTCGCGGTCATCACCTGCTGGTACAGGGCATTACTAATATTTCGAGAATTACTTATATGTTGAGAATCGCCTATTGCTTCTCAAACCACGTCATTGCTGCCGTGTTTGGTGTTATTTTCACGTTTTGTGCTAACCCGGCCAGCCCGGCACGTCCCTGTCACAGCGCTGCAGCCCAGCTCGGGCAGCATTACCCGACTGGTTATAGCAGTGCTCTTTGTTTGGTTTGGGTTTTTTTCTTTTTCCCTTTGGACTTTGTGAGGTAAGAGGATAAAATCTTTGTCGAAAGGTTTTTCTTGGGGTCTATATTAAAGCTTTATGGAATGGATAAAAAGGTAATTACTTTAATCGCTTGGGGGTTTTCACTGTTTGCGTTCGTGAAGTGCCTGCAATCCTCGGGGTTCCCAAAACAGCCCCTCAGCTGGGCCCTGGCCCCGGGAGCAGGGGCTGTAACACAGACGGACATTGCAGAATCCCAATTAAAGAAACGAGGCCAAGCAAGGGCATATTGGGCTGGAAGGCAAATGGCTGGTTTTGCAAGAGCGAGTGATCACACGAGTTTTGGGACCACTTCGTCCTAACGCTGAAAAGCTGGTGCCTAATGCTGTGCAGGGTAGGAAGTGAAAAGATGAACTCGGGAAATGTTCCCAAGGAGTTAAAATGTAACGTGTTTGGGAGACAGAAGAGAGTAAAAAGGTATCTAGAGATAAATGAGTATTTAATGATTAACAGAAGGACAGTCATGTTTGCTAAGAATATCTAAAAATGACTGTCAAGAAGTCAGTGCACTTTCTTCTAGGCCCTGTCAGCAATTACCAGCTGAGATGACCTGGTCGTTGTACTTGAAGCCCAGGCAATTGTAATAGGTTAGGTATCAGATTTTTGTTGGACTTTTGAGTGGGTGTATTTATACTACTCTGAGTAGTAGTTTTAGATTGAGATAGAATTTATGATATTAATATTCCTTTTATAAAATTTGTCGCATGTGTCAGAAAGTGTCACTGCAGTGATAAGAAAAATAATCCGACAAGTTTTCTTTTTGATTTAAAGTGCAAAAGGTTCAGGAACTAAATCCGAGCTTGTTTCGCAAACAAACTACATTTGGATTATTTCAATTTCAGTAATCCTAGATAAAGTAAGATTTTTTTTTTTTTTGTATGCTTTAACTTGGAGTGGAAACTCTGCCAGTCTGGCTTGAAGTGTTCCTCCCGTGGTTTTAGGGTTGGGTCAGTGTACCTTGGCAAATGCAGTCATTCTCATTTGCTGGGTTCAGAGAGGTGACCTGTGACAGCAGCCGTTCAGCTCTCGTGTTCCTGCTGTGCACTTGCCCCCAGTAGATTTACAGATTTAGTTTTTAAAGTGTTTGAGTAAAAGGTCTTTCTCGCTGCCAGTTGGTGAGACCTGCACCCAGTGCTTACACAATACATCTAAAACACTAAACCAGACCTTCCCCTGCACTTACCCCCAGCGTGGACCTCCTGAGCTCCCGGCTGTCCCAGTGTCCCGCGTGCCTCTCGGAGGAACAGTTTCACCAGCTCATGTACCTTCACCTCCTCGTCTTCTTCAGGAAGCTGACTTGCAGTTGAGTTCCTTGTTTCTTAACTGTTCATCTGCTTGATTCTAGGGTGTAGTGAATGTCGGAACAGCCTGTTGGGATATCATAGGCATCATGATTTAAAGGAAATAAACAGCTAATATAGGTGGCTTTTAAGTAAAAAAGGTGCTGTTTTCCTGTCAATACCTAACGAGCAAAGAACTAAGAAGGAGAAAAGATCTTTGAATGCCCTCAGTTAGATATCAGCTGATTTTTATATCCTTTCACTTGTTTGCTCAAGACGCCTCCAGGCTTGATTCGGAGACCAGGGTTTGGCAAACCTCCACTGGCATCTCTAAATTCTGTTTACTTAACCCCAAAAGTCATCTTCTATCCCAATGTACTCACAGTGTTCCTTCTGAACTCTAAATCAAAATGAGAATGGGGTTGGTTTGGCCCGTTGTCTTGGTTGTTGGGTTTTTTAGTGTGTGGTTTGCTTACGGTTTGTTGGTTTGGGGTTTTTTTCCCTAAAGAGTTTTGTCTCAGAGTTGAGGTAGTTCAAGTGACAGTTCAACAATTTGGAGCTCGTTCTACAGTCAGAGGAGGTGAATTTGCAGTTGAACATTGACTTCAGGATCCGCAGAGTACACTCACAAGTGACACAATATATGATTAACAGATGTAAATGAGCCCTTGGATACTGTTTCACGTTTCTTCTTTGCACAATTGTGGCAGAACTGGTGGATGAACAGACCCCAGCAGCACTTGTTCCAGACCTGGGTGTGTTAATGATATCCCAGGGACAAGAGCAAATGTGTGAGAAGGCTTCTCAGGATGAGATTGATTGTTTTTACTGTTTTGTTTTGATATATTTTTGATATTTTAAATTGGTCACTGGACTCAATCAGCCAGTGGACAAATAATTAGGAGGGGATCCCCAGTACAGACTAAGGAATGACCTTCTTCTGGGACAGGAGATCCAGTACCTCTTGTGTTGTATCATTTTGATCTTTCTTCTGTCTCAGCCATTTTGTTTCATTTCATACTGGTATTTCAGTGAGTTAATGATTTATTAATTTTTCATAGTTACTAAAAGCTAAGGGTTTTTTTCAGTAGGTGCTGGTGAAGATACAGATTTTATCTTTTTGATGAGTTTCCAGATTTGTGGTGTTACATTTAACGGAATTTAATTTGTAGAAAATTACCTTTTTTTCCACATTGGTTTAAGGAACACAGAAATGAATTTATTTGCCTCTTCTACATCCTTTCCTTGTGTTATACGCCAAGATATAAGAGCCAGACATTTCTTGTGCCCATTCCATAAAGTGATGCTGTGTTTTTTACAGTGTGTTGAACTCCTTAGTTTTAAGGAGGTTTTCTCAGTTTCGATATTTATATATATAGGTCCAGGTTGGAGAATTTTCACTTAAACTACTCAGCAAGGCAGGCTGAAGATTCTGGTAGTAAGGAAGTGTGAAAAATCCAAGTGTCTTTAGCATACAGTTTGTGGGCTGGCAGCATTCCCATCTGCCTTGAACCACCAGGAATTTGAATTCTGTGCAATGCTCTGAGTGTAAATGAAGTCATGGCGTGAAACGCTGAGAGTCAGCACTGCTGAGAGCAGCGTATGGTGAAGTGCAGCATCTGTGAACACAAAGCTGCCCTTCTGGGACACTGTGCAAAATGATGTAAGCAAGTGAAAAAGCTCTGCAGGAACACGTTCCACCTGCTGGAACGGAGAGTTTCTGCTGCAATACCTCACCAGGCTTGAGTGTGAGGCTTCCTTGAGCGCGCGGTGGGATTGTGTGGGATGGAAAAAGCTGCTGGCAACAACAGCCAGAGATCCTGAGGTTTTGTCTTGCTGCCCTGCTCCTGTGCTGCAGCTCTGCTACAAAGAGGGGACACCCAGGGAAGCCTTTAATGCCTGGGGGGTGAGTTTGCAAAATAATTCTTCTGAAAAATTCAGGTTGCCCTTTGAAAGTGCTTTGCTGTTTGTAATCTTGCAAAAAAGGTCAGATAATCACCTGTTTCCTTCTCATAACCTTAACTAAGTACTCCTGTTCCTGCAGCAGCAATGTAATGTCAGAGTTTCATGGAAAGCACAGTGGACTATTTTTAAACTTTTTTTTTTAGTGAATTAATATTTGTAACTGCTGAAACTCTCTTAGTTCTTAGATTAAAAATATTACACTGCTAAGAGTGTTTGTTTCTGGAAACGTAAATTCCTTTTGCTGAGTCTCAAAGATTTAGGTACTGTGGAATTTACATATCAAGGAATGAGACTGTGGAGGTTGTTGCTACTGAAATACAATAAATGGTGTTCTCTGATAAATATAATGATGTTAATGACTAGTATTATCATTAATATTCCAAACTAATGAACACTGAACTTCAAACTCTGCACTGTCCATCTGTCCAAACTGATGATTAAATCCCATTTCAGACTGCACTTGCAGTTCTAACTTGTGTAGAATTTTGGAGGACTAGGTGAGCTCATTCCTCTTACAGCAAATGGCATTTTTGAGAAAACACAAGGGGTTTGTTTTGGCTGTGGATCTCAGTTGCTTATCAGCAGCAGTAAAATACAGGTCACACACCAGCCAGGTCATACTACAGGACTGTAAAGTAGCTTAGTTTCTAAAAAAAGATCCCTCTTGGCTATGTTAAACTAAAACCATCAACAACAGGATTCAAGAGCTTCTTAGATAAATCACTACCAGGACCAGAATGCCACGTTATAATGCCAAGAAGTTGGGTTTGTTTGGTTTTTTCCCTTTCTCTCTGCTAGGATTTCAACAGGAAAATTTCCTTGACCTCGTGTCTGGGTAGTTCTTGAGGATGGCAAGCAAAGGATCCACAGCTTCTGCATCAACCAAGAGCTCCAGCACTGGAGGGACCAGTGGCAGCAGCAGTAACGGTCCTGGGGACAACACTAATCAGGACAACACTTTTGAATGTAACATCTGCTTGGACACTGCCAAGGATGCAGTGATCAGCTTGTGTGGGCACCTCTTCTGGTAAGTGCTCCCACCCCCACAGCTCAGCCAGAGCACCATCCAGCTGATCCCAGAGAATCCTGTGCTTTTGGTAATTTCAGATGTCAAATGTCCTGTATAAAATGAGTAAGGACTGTGGGTTTGGTTTAGGAGAAGCTTCTCAGCTGTTGTTCTTTGCTCATGGTCCAGGAGTGGGTTTCTCGCATGTTAAACTTCCTGTCCTTCTGGCCATTCCTGTAGGAGTTGCACTCGATGAGCCTCGTGGGTCCTTCCCAGCTCAGAATATTGTGATTGTTGTGTAAAAGCAAACAAGGAGCCCCACACAGACAGTTCAGTGCTCACTGATACTGCTGGGTGTCGTGTGCTATTTTATTTGTGCTGTCTGGCCTAGCACAGACACCTTCTTTAGACCTTTCTAACCTGTGCAGACCTAACCCTGCCTTTGAATCCAGGTTATGGAGGCCTAATTGGAGTTTTTCCCACAGGTTTGCTCTTTTTTTTCCTTTGAACTCATAAATTTGGGATATTTCTCTTTTTCCATGGTATTGCTGTTGTAATAGGAACCTTTCAGTTCTTTGATCTGACATGGAAATAATGTACAGCCCAGATATAATCCACGTGCAGCATTTCTCATTTGGGTAACGTGGTTTGAAGATACTCTTTCTTGAATGTTAGGAAGTTATTAAGGATTGACATGGCCAAATGTGGGGGTTTAGGGGATTATTTTACACAGTAGGCTAAATCTTTAATAAAAAGAGGCCTAAAAGAGCATTTCTTTTCTGTGTAAATGTACGTAACATCTGAAAATCCAGATTTTTATTTGAGGAGGTGGAAAATCACTGGCTGATGGCTTGTTAAGATAAAATTAGATTGAATTATTGCACAAAGGGATCTGGAAGAATGGAACCTTAAAAATAGCATGTGTCTTGCCTGAATAGGGTTGTCATGACCATTTTGAGTGCAGATGGCTGTTTGCAGTTTCATCTTGTAGCCTTGTTTTCTTTGACCTTTTTTTAATTTGCCATATTAATTTAATCTGTATAATGAGAATTTTTCTGCCATGAGCAACTGGGTCTGATCTCAACAGCTGAGCCTGCTCTGAGCATCAGGTTGGACTACAGGCTACCTGAGGTACTGCCCAGCCTGAGTTATTCCATGATCCTGTGAATGTGGCTGATGTTTCAGCTAAATCTTTTGACATCCTAAAGGCTCGTTACTGACATCTTGCTCATTTGCATCATAGCTCAGAGGTATCTTTTCATGGTGTCAGAGCAGACAGTTTGCACAGAGAACCCCAAGGTCAGTGCAGCCTCTGTGTGGGCCCTTGGTGTGGAAGAGGACGAGGAAGCGAAGGGGATATGCACAGAGCCACCTTTGCAACTTCGATTGTGTAACCTGAAAGAACCAGTGGAGATCAGTCTTGGGCTGTGCTTTCCAAAATTACTGTAATGGGAGGTTACAGAACTGGCCCAGCTGGATTCCAGGGTTCTGCTGTGGCCAGGCTGTGCTATCCATGTACATTTGTCAGGTCGAGTTGTCAGTAACTAATTCTATTTTCCCCCTTTTTCTGCTCTGCGAACAAATTGTCCTGGGAATGCTCACAGTTGGCCTTGTTTACACCAGGTAAGACAGGTTTCCTTTTGCTTTGTCTTTCATCAGCTCCTGTTGCTCAATAAAGCCCTTGGTTCTCTGGAGTATCCCCCTCTTTCCAAATGTGCTTTTCTCTCCAGGGCAATCACAACCTGCTAATGCAACTGCATGTGCAAACCTTGCAAGCTGCTCTTTCAGCAACATGAAAGCTTAATTCTGTTCCACCTGAGTATTTCCAGTTTTGGTAGAATTACTGTAGGGGGTTCCTTTGCAGGTTTAAGTGCTGGGTGTACTTCTCTCTGCATCTGTAATGTTTTACACTGTGGTACCATTATGGAAAAGCTGGGTGAAAGGAGGGTGTCTGCACTAGCCCTGGGCCTATGCAGGACTTTTGGCACTGTTTATTTCTTCATATTTTACTCCAGGGCAGATCTGAATGTGTGCACATCAGCAAGTGGATCATACCAGAACAGCAGCCAAAGTGCCAGCTCCACTTTGGAGAGTACTTGGCACTTACTAAAATGGTTTGCTCTGGGGCTTTCTGAGGAATTGCTGAAGTCTCTCTGCCTGGCTGCAGATGAGGTTTGCATATTGTTGTTTCATGGTCTTTACTAGTTTCCTTATCATGTCCTTTCTTTTAGTGGCTAGAGACCAGGCCAAACAGACAAGTGTGTCCTGTGTGCAAAGCAGGAATCAGTCGAGATAAAGTTATTCCTCTGTATGGAAGAGGCAGCACCGGGCAGCAGGACCCCAGGTAAGAAACCTAAATACAACTATTTTTGTTTGAAAACTAAAGATGAAACTGTAGCTTACTGTCTTAAGATTAAACTGTCAAAGTGCTGGATTCATAATTTTGTAATACTTTGTCAAAAGACAGACAGAACTGATGTTTCTGACAAATATTTCTGGCTCTTTCAGGGCCTGGGTTTGCACACCTTATTTCATGTTCAACTGGCACTTCATTTGAATTTTAATTGGGTCTTAATTAGCAGTCACACGTGGCAGGTTGCAATGATTGTTATCTGGCTGGAGAAGCTCTTATAAAATGTTCCTGCCCTGAGTTTTTAGCCTTTGCTAACTCCTGTTAATCAGAAGTGCAGCACTGATTCAGGATGTGCTGCCGACGGTCCAGGAGCTGCAGGGTTGGCTCCCTCACACTGCTCCAGCTCTGCTGCAGCCTGGCCCCCTGGGACCGAGCTCTGGGGTTGTTCTGCCTCATTAGCCAGGCTATTGCAGGCACTGCTGTCACGTGTCCTTGCACTTGGGCTAATTTGACAACTTCCTGCAGAGAGAAAACTCCACCACGACCCCAAGGACAGAGACCTGAGCCAGAGAACAGAGGGGTAAGTGAAGAACCAAGCTCGGGCTGATAAGTTGTTTTTGTTGATGGTGGTATTTATTCCTCCTGGAGGACATAGTGTGTGCTTGAGATGCTGTGTGAGGATCCTTACACATCTTGCTCATCCCCCACTTGTCTGGTCATTGATAGCTGTGGTGTGGCAGAGAACTCCATTCCTACAGTACTCTTTAGCATCCCAAAGAACAGGATAACTTGGATTGTGCTTCGTAAAAATGGCCCAGTGTGGTATCACTGGAAATGCTTTTCATGCTTGATTGTTCTCCATGTAAATACAAGGAACACTTTGCTTTGAAAATCCTTTGTGGAAGTGTATTTCCATCAAAATATACCTGTCATGGAAATACATAATTCGTGTATGAACTTGGATTTTTGGCACTGAGACCTGCTCCTATAATTTCTGTGGGATGTTACTGTACCATGGCATTACGAGCAAAAGAAAGGAGGTATCTGTTGGGTACATGTTCATTTGGAGAGGGATCTCTGGTTTTGTTGAGGAGATGACATGGAGTGCATGTAAACAGCAGCTGGCACAGCCTGAGCAGATGTGGGAGAAGGCAGTAGGACAGTCCCTCAGCAGGACCTGATGAAACAAGGGCACATTTCTGTGTAACACGGCCTGGGGTCCTCAGAGAGGATTTATCTGCCTCGTGCTGCAGGCAAACAACTCTGCTGGGTGTGATTAGGGCACATTTCTGTGTTGAATGTGTGGGGAGCTCAGCTGTTCTCTTTCTCAGGGGAGTTGCTGCCTTATTAAATCAGCTCCTGCACCTTGTTTGAACCTTTGAGCTGGTGCTGTGGAAGTCAGAGGGGTCTGCTACAAAGGCCAGTAGTGATGCTGCCCTCCTGTTCCCTACAAGCCCTGTACCTGGACAGAGAGCTTTGCTGTCCCTCATAGTTTATGGCAAAGTCACTGAGAAGAGTCACAGTCAAAAGACCAACTCCTCAAATCAAGGCTCAACCCAGATATGTTTGGCTTTAATATATGAGTGAAATCATCTTTGTCCTTTTACTGTTGGGAGGTGACAGACCCCAGAGGGTCTTTCAGAACTGATATCACTGTGCCAGTTCTGAGATGAGAGGGCAGGTTGCTGGATTCCAGAGGTGTGGGCTCTCAGCAGTTTTTAAACATGACACCACTCCCTAGATCCACACAGAGCTGGTTCTCCAATAGCACGGGGCTTGTGCACGGCAGGATCCATCTCCATTCCCAAGACTTGTCTTTTGACTTGATGTGGTGTTTTAGTCTGGATCCCACGGGGTCAGTGTTGCATTGTAACTCTTCCTTTTTTCCTCCTTTCTTTATGTCTTGCATTCCTGCCCCAGGTGGCTTTATCTGACACCTTAATTAGAGTCCCCCTGGTAAATTTTTTTTTGTACTATTCCTTATAATGCTCTTTGCATCCCACTGGCAGTTTATCACTTCACTGAGTGTTTGACTCACATGTATCACGAAAATCAGTGTAGATTATTTATTTCAAATGCCTTTCTTATTGTTATGTAGCTAATAGCTATTAACACACAATATATTCTTTAGGTATTCTAAATAGGATTGGTAATGTTGATTTTGATACATTGGCAGATGTCTACTACTTTAATTTGAGAAATGTTACAGATACACTTTTGTTAACTTGTGGCTTTCAAGCAAGAACTGTGGTTCCTAGTGCTCATTTTCTCAAAGTTTTGGGTTGCTCTGAAAAGTTTGCTACTGTGTAAAACACTTTAAACCCAAGAGAATTTAGGAGATATTTACAATAGTGTGTCAGACTGAAAGTTGCCAGACAGCATGGCCTTCCTTCAGGTGTGGGACAGACAGGGAGGGGGAATGTCTGCACTTCTACACAATGTTCTGAAACAGGCTTTAAATGATTGGTACCTTTTTTGTCTCCTGCTGCTTTTTTCTCTGCAGGGATTCCAGGGCTTTGGCTTTGGTGATGGCGGCTTCCAGATGTCCTTTGGAATTGGGGCGTTTCCCTTTGGTATATTTGCAACAGCCTTCAACATAAACGACGGGCGACCTCCTCCAGGTACCAGGATCCACCTCCTCCAAGGGTCCTGTCAAAACATGTTTTACAGACTCCCTTGTAACTCTTAAACAATAACCTGCTAAATGACAGAACGTTGTCAGCAATAACCAGTGCTGTGAATAGAAACACAAGGTGAGGGCAAACGCCCAGCACAGGGCGTGGTTTATGGCTGACACGTTTTGTACATGGACTCATAAAGAAGTTTGTCCCTTCCATCTAATTCAAAGGCCCTCCTGGGAGAACAGTGGCACTGGAGACTTCTCCCTTTTAATTCACCTCTCTCCTCTGGTACTCCAGCAGACTCCCTCTGAAAAATGAGACAAATTGGAGTAGAGTTTCTAATAATAAAAATGAGTCACTAGGGGTGTATGAAGGAGACCCAGATTCTGAAAACAGCAGGAGAGGACCATTTCCTGAAAGATGAGAAAGAAAAATTTAAATATGCTCTGTACCGTGAAATAATGAATGCAGAGGTTGTTCCTTTTTCAGAAATTTATCTCTGAGACAGTCATCTGTATTCCACAAGTAACTTTCCAGTGAAATTATTTCTCTGTTTTTAATTAACAAAAACCAGTTGGGTTACTCTAAGTGGTGACCTTACTCTCCAAAAATTAAGTAATCCCTAGAAAACCTCTTCCCCATCTGCACTGGAGACAAGTTGAGTCTGTCTGTTTTGAACAGGAAAACTTTACTGCCCAGGATTTTCAGGACTTCCGCTGTGAATGGTTGTCCTGGCAAATCTTCCAGCACGTCATATGGCACAGGAATTATGAGGAGCAAACTCATTCTTCATGTGACAGCTGTATTGCCACGGTCCTGTGCTGTCCTTGGGTCCAGTTACCTTCCCTATTAACCATAGTTCAGTGTCCCCTAAAAATCTGTGTGTGGGGTGACTGAGCCAGGAGTGTGTAAATACGTGCTGTTGTAACAGCCATAATTTAACCAACTCCTTTATCTGTTTTTCCTTGGTGGATTCAATGCAGCAGTTCCAGAAAGGCACAGCTTGAGTTTTAGAGCTCGTGTGCTTTTCATTAGTTCTCTTGGGCAAGGCTGCACAGGCAGCTCTGACCCTTTTGCCATTTCCTTGTTCAGAGGTTTCACCTTCTGGGGAGGAACAGAGGCAGCTCAGGTGGAGGTAGTGAAGTTCCTTGGGAACAGTGAACTTGGCTCAGCACTGCCTACTGTGTTCAGAATATGCACGATCCTGGAGAAGAGGAAGGAGCTGAACTGTTTTTTGTTTCTTTTTTTCCCACTTCCTGTTTTCCAGCTGTTCCAGGGACTCCTCAATATGTGGATGAGCAGTTCCTTTCCCGCCTCTTCCTGTTTGTGGCACTGATGATAATGTTCTGGCTGTTGATTGCATAAATCTTTTCCATTATTCTATATGTTCATGACCAACAAGGCCACTGAAACAGTTACAAACTGCATCCCCATCCCACTTTAAACCTCTTGGTCTGGTTCCGTAGCTAACTATGGGCTTCAGGAATTGGTGGTACCACAGCACAATGAGGAATCTCGCATTTTGCACCGGAGTTGGAAATTAAACATTGGTTAAAAAGCGTATTTCAGCTCAGCTGTCTTGTACGACAGGTTCCTGCCACAAACCACGGGCCTGGTGTTGAGCTGTGCTCCCAGAGGGAGTGCTGCTCTGAAATCCTGTGCCAATCAGGGACACCAGGTCTGTGGGACAGACAGGGACCCCCAGGTAGACTGGGCAGGTCAGGAAACTTCTCCAGCGTGACCAGTATCTCATGCTTTGCAACCACAATGGATCTGCCAGAGCTGCAGATGTTATTTAATGTCTCCATCAACATCCAGCCTTCTCCAGGAAATCACCTGCAGCACTGCTGACACTCTTTGGGCACAGCACGTGGTGCAAATGGAACCAGGTCCGGAGACCGGTTCCTTTTCCTGCTGTTATTTCCCGGCGTGATGGGAACTCCTTCCTGACGCGGTTCTGCCTGGAAGAAGGGATACAAATTTATGCTGCAATTTTTTAAAGCCTGAACGTGCTGGAGCCAGACACTGGAAGATTCTCTGGCTGTGGAGCCGGGTGAGGCTGGACACAGCGGCTGCCTCACCCCGCCCAGCTCCTCACTGACCAGCAGTGTTGTCTCCCCTGGCTCTGCACAGCCCCGGGGCTGCACTCGTGGATAATCCCCTCACCCTCACAACCTCGTCACGGTAGCGACAGTTATCCCCTGCCAAGGCTGGGAGACTTTCTATGCGAGGTCACGTACTCCAAATAAAATCCTATTACAGATCCGAGATCAGCTCGTTGGGGGAGAGGAACAAAAGGCATCTTTACATGAGGTTTGAGGTTAAACCTGTCATACTGTAACATTGCACAGGAGGAAAAATGAGAGCCTGCCTTTGCCAGCACGTGCACGGTAGGGAACCCTTGGAAGGCCTTGTCTCTGCAGGTCACACAGCTTCTCCGAGCCACAGCGGCACGGCTGCAGCACAAGAGTCTCTGCAGTATCTACCAAAGAGCTTAATTTGAAGTGCTGGAGGAGACCACAACCATGAATGTGCTGAGGGGATATTTCAGAAGGTGAGCACTCTGTAGCCATTTTGGAATCCTGCTGGGTATTCAGCTTTAAAGAGTACTCCTGATGTATTTGTGTAGATTCCTTCAGGACAGCAGATACGAGAGATTCCCTAGCAAGATGAACAGTTTTCATATTTCTCTGACTAGGCAATTCCATTTTTTTTTCCTCTTATTGTTTCTAGATTGTTTTGATTCAGGTCGCTGATAGTCTCATTAATTTCCTGCAAGATGAATATTGTGACTTCTCTGGCAATAGACAGAAAACTGACAAAACAAATCAACAAATAGGAACTTTGTTTCAATAGCTTGGGGTTTTTCTAGTGTATATGGAAGAGGTTCCTGGGCAGGACACCTTAATTGTTGTAGAAGCTTATTTATGTGATTACAAACTGTTCACTTTTAGTGTCAAGACAGAGGATGACTGAAGTTTAACTTGCCTACCTCCAAAACTCTATCTGGCAAGTAGAATGTTGCAAAGCTTCTGCAGTGTTTTGCCACATGTGGTCAAATTTATACCTGACTGGGTGATAATCCGGCACAGTGTATTGCTCAACTATTTATAGTTGAAGTGGTGCTTCAGCTTTTGTTGTGTGGCGCTTTTGGGAAGCTGAACTTCTGCACGGGGTTCTTCTCAAGTGCATAACGTGTAACTGGGGCCCTTTCCAGGAGAAAGGCTGTTTGTGTGGCCGTCCTGCAATGTCTCAGCTCCGGGTTCTTCTCCTGCTCAGCCAGCACCACCTGCTGATGGGAAGGGAAGGCCCATGTGGTGGGAAGGGATGGATTCCTTCTCTTTTTTGTGTGGAGAAAGTCGCTGCTGGGAGCACAGGTCGTCCAGGGAGGAGCAGGGTATCCCTTGGAAGCCTTTTTCCAATAAAGAGGACAGAGAACTGACTGCAATAGGTTCAAGAGGTATTGAAACATATTTAACTAACACTTATGTTTTAAAAGACGGAATTTTAATGTATTGAGGGGGGTTCCATCTATGGGTGAGAGATATAATGGATTTAGAGGAGACTGCAGAAACATGACTGAGAGCTCTTATTTTCGGGCAATTCCAGGATGAAATAGTCTAAAAGTGTTAATGCTTGGTTCCCCCCTTTCCCCGGTGTGCTTTTGTATGTACCCCTGTCCCGCACCCGCCCGCACCCGGCCCGGACGGCTCGGTTAGTGCGTTACCGTTCCTTCTCCTCCTCCTCCTCCTCACTAATTTTCACTGTTGTGAAAGTGATTTAGAATTAAAAAACAAATGGTTTTACATTGACCGCAGTGCTCGGCCATTCCTCCGCGGGCGGGAGCGCCGGGGACGCGCCTCCCTCAGGGGGCCGGGGGGGCGGGGCCTGCGAGCGCCGTGCCCGCCACGGCACGTGCGGGGCGGGGCCGCGGGGCAGCCCGCTCTGTCATTGGCTGGCGGCGCGGAAGGGGCGGGGCAGGCGGGGCGGGGCGGCGCGGGGATTGGCGGGCGCGGCGGGCGGGCTGTGCGGATTGGCCGGCGGGGAGGAGGGGGGCGGGGCGCGGCGCTGCGGGGCCGCGGGAGGCGGGTCCAGGTGCGGCGGGACCCGCTGGCGACGGGCGGAGCGGCGGGCGCGGGATGGAGGCGCTGCCAGGTGAGCTCGGGCCGGGCCGGGCCGCGCCCCTGCGGGAGGAGCCGCCCTCCGTCACCGCGGGAGCGGGGGCGCGGGCGCGAGGCCGCGGTTCCCCTCCCGGCCCGTTATGTGGGCGCCGGTGCGTCGGCAGTGCCGCGGGGCGGCCCTTGCGGGGCTGCTGCCTCCGGACCGCGCGCTCTGGCCGGGTGTCAGCCCGTGTCCGGGGAGCGGGCTGCTGCCGGCCCGTAGTTCCCTCCGCCGGTCCGCGGCTCCCCGCGCAGCGCGGGAGGCTCCCGGGGGTCCCACTGCGGCGAACCCCGCGGGGAGGCGATGGAGCTGCGGCCGCAGCCCGCACGGGGTCCCGCAGCGCGGGTGCCGCCGGCCCCGCTGCCCCCGGGCCCGTGTCCCACTCGGGGTCTCGCGGTGCCCCCGGGACTCGGCCGGTGCCCCCCGGGGCCGCTCCTCGCTGGCCGCCCCTCAAACATTCCTGCCGTCCTGGGGGACCCGGCAGGACCTGCTACATTGATCATGTCCGTTTGCTTTTCCTTCGCGCCGTTTCCTGCTCTGTTTTGTTCATTTCCGTCGTTTCTCCTGGATCCTGAACAGTTTCGGTCGGATTTAGGACTGTTCGTTTCCGTTCTGAGATAATCAGCCTTCCCGGGGACGCTCGAACAGCTGTAGCACCGCAGCAGAGTCGGGCGGCTGCTGCCGGGGCTTGTTTGCTCGTGGGTCAAGTCCTGCGTGATGGTTGTGGAAGAATCTGTTGCTTTTGGTCAGCTGTGGTGTAGTCCTTGGTCTTTATCTGGCTTTAACGGGATCCACTGACCACACTGACACGCGTTCCTTGTGCTGGAGGCACTGAACGGGAGCGCGTGGAGCTGCAGGGTGTCTGGTTTGCAGGTGTTTTTGGCCTGCAGCAATTCCCCAAGTTCAGCTGACTTCCAGGGCTTGCCCTTCTTGGAGAGGAGAGTCTCCACTGCCTTTACACGCAGGCACAGGCACGTGTGGCTTTGCCTTTATCCCCAAGCCCCTTTGGTGGCTGAAAAGCAATTTGCTGTATAGAAGAACACCGGTAGTGCCAGCTTTTCCCAAGTTTCTCCTAACCCTTACTGTGCTGTGCAGATCTGAGCTCAGGTGCAGTTCTTGGTGTTCTGGAGAGCAGGAGGGCACAGGGACAGGTGCTCCCGGGTGTGGAGCCAATGCCCAGCTGGGAACTGAAGTGCAACTTACACCACATGTCCCGTTTGAGTGAATCCTCTGAGCCCTGCAGTCTGTGGGGAGATGTTTCTGGGTGCTCCAGTCTGCTGGAGAGAGTGGTGCCTGTGGCTGAACAACAAGTGGTTTTCCTCCTAAATAGCTACTTGTGTAAAACATGCAAGATCTTCACCTTGGTTAATTTTAAACGTTGTCGCTGCCCTACCCGGTGGGGTCAAAGTGCGCAGAAGGCTGATGGCTTCTGGTTTGTGTAGCTTCAAGGAACTTAATCATGGTAACGACTTGCCTGAGCAGCTACCGAGTTGTAACGTTCTTTGGAAAATGGAAGTTCGTGGTTTGTGGTTTTCCTTCTCTAAGTGCGCTTTTTTCCTTATGCAACCTTAGCGCAAGCAAACTGTTGGTAGCAGGAAGAAACAGGTTTGAGATGTGCTCAGCACACGCTCCTTGTGCCCTCCTGTGCCCATCCACATCCCTGACTCTTTAGTATGCCCGCACTGCTGTTGGGATTGGGGATAGCATTTATCTGTGTGCCAAATGCTCTTTGTGCACAGCCTTTCATTCTGTTTTCCTAGCTCGCCTGCATCTAAGTAACCAGCTCTGGGGCTTTCTGGCAGTTCTAGCAGAAACTATTATAACTCTATTATAACTATTTTAAGTATTTTCTGAAAGGGCAACAGGCCAGTAGCATCACTCTCTCTTCCTAAGTCTGACAGTAGCCTGGTGTTGGCTGTACAGCCCCTACAGGAATATTCATTCAAGTGTGTAATTCCTTCCCGGTAGTCAAGTTGTTCTCTACTGAATAAAGTTTGCCTTTCCTTTCTTTCAGTTCTGGGAAATCCATTTAATTATACAAATGAGAGCAAACGCTGTGTGCTGAGTCAGTGGTGTGGGGGAAGCAGCAGCGTGGCTTCCTGGCCTGGTGTGGTTCTCTGTGGGAATTGTTGTGCTGGAGCAGTCGGCCTTCCTGAAATCTCTGCTCTGGCAGAGCTGTAACTGAGCTGGTTTGTGTGGAAAGTCATATTGCTTCCTTCTGCAGAATGTGAAGGAGCAGATGTCATGTCTGAAGGGGAAAAAAAAGTAATATGTAAGGTGTCAGTTTGATTTGGGAGCTCCACTCTCGAGTTACAGGCTGCCTGGTGTTGGTTTAACTTTCCATGTGTGAAAACTTTCCTGCCCGTTGATTATTTGAGGTTATTCTTTAAGAGGGAGGCAGCAATCCTTGTTTTCTCTGATGTAAACTGGTTGCTGTTTGTCACGTTATCCGTGCTTGCAGGTGAAGAAGTCTGGAGATGTCTGGGATGTGGGGACAGCATTGCTGCCGGGCAGCGCCTCTACAAGACCGTCAACGAAGCCTGGCACATCTCCTGCTTTCGGTAGGTAAAGCTTTGGCCTGTTCAGCCCTCCTCGTGCTGTTCCACTGGCTTGGGACCTGGTGCTGTGGTACCTGGGTGAAGCACCACCATGAAGCAGGAGCTGTTGCTGTGATCTCTGTGCCCGAGCTGCTCTGAGCCCTTGTTTTCTGGTGTCCGGTCCCAGCACTGGTCAGACCCTGCCTGGCAGAGGGGGTGGCTGTGCTGACGCACACGGGGTACAGATAAAGTGCAAATAAGGGCTCTGATTTACTGGTGGTGGCAGGAGCCACGGGCTGCACAGTTTGCCTTCAGCTGCATTCCAAGGTAGCACCCAGGCAATTTGCATAGCCTGGTGCTTTGTCCATATGTGGTAGGTGCACGGTGTTATCGGGGTGCTGATACAGGGGAGGGAGGGCAGGGAGATCTTGCCTTTGCCTTTCTCTCCTTTTCAGACTCTGAAGACAGACAAACTTATGAAATCCATTGGATAATGTTGCTATCAGCAAGGAGAGAAAAGGAAATCTGCCATGGGTTTTCCTGGTGGTAGGAGTAATGCCCCTGGTCAGTGTTTCATGAATATTCAGTCCAGTTTTCATGCTCCAGAACCACGTTTTTGAAGGGGCCTATATTTTTGAGAGGCATTGAGTACCTGCAGCTTCTACTGGCTTCTGTGTTGGCTTGGATCTGGAGAGGCTAATATTTTGGATACTATCAAAGAAAATGGGGGGAAAGGAAGCCAAAGTGTGGCTTTGGAGGAATGTTTGCTGAGCCAAGATAAGCATCTACTGTCCTCCTTTAAAGAACAAAATACCCCAACGTTGTTGAAGTGAGGATTATGGTTATTGGTGTATTTAAAAGAAAGAAAACATCTCATGCTGCCAAAGCAGTGCTGGCTCTGTTGATTTGGAAAATACTGTGAGTTACAATGTCACATTAATAATCACAATTACAGCTTGATATCTTGACGAATCCCAGTATTTTGGGTTTCTGTTGGTTTGAGTGTTCATGTTTAGCTATACTGAGGCAGCTTGTCTTATTCCTGGTTTTCTCTTCTCCCTAAAGGACTAGTATCCTGTTGTTGAGCTTCCCTAGATCCTGCTAGTAGCCAAACCCAAAGCTGTGGGCACTGGAAGTCTGTCTTTCTCGCCATTGGATGTATTTCTCTCGTGGGTCTTGATTTGCAAATGTCTTTGTGCTTCTTGCTGTTGGGGCTGTCAGGGTGGGGAACAGCTGAGCTGGAGGCAAATCCTGCCCTTGGGGCACTTCACAGAGAGTTTGATATCGAGGTTGTACTGTAGAGTGGCAGTTTGGTTGTTAGTTCTGGGTCGGTTTGTTTTATACGAGTGAAGACCCCAACTTTCCTCCTGAGCTGTGTAGTAAGTGCATTTTCTGATGCACCTCTCGTGCTCTGTGCTCCTGCTGAGCTCTGGCACCCGGCTCGGCTGCTGTGCTGAAAGAACAGCTGGAATCTGCAGCAAAGGAAGCTGCCCTTCCCTTTTTCCTACTTCCAGGGGAGGACTGTGCACACAAACAAGTTTCCAGTTTGCCCTGTGTTCCTCCTTTCCTTCTGTTGTCCCCAGAGCAGCTGAGCAGCAGTCTTGTGCTCCATATCCCAAAGCCAAACTCGAGAAAGGCTCTGAGGGAAGGAGCCTTTGGCAGCCGGGAGCTGTGAGTTCCGGCAGCCCTTGTGGAGTGTTTTTTACAGTCTTCCTGTGGATTAGCTGACTCCCTGGCCTGGCACATCATTTCTCTAATGCTGATTGGCACAGCTCCAGGCTCGTTAGCTCTGTTTATTCTTGGGCAGGCTTGGCTCTGGCAGGAGCTGACGTACATCCATGTCTCGGAGGATTTAAGTTTTTGTCACTTCCCTCCTTCCTCCGACTGCCTGTGCAGGAGCTTTGTCCCTGGAACCTGCGTTTTCTCTGCTGTGGCTTGAGGGACGAGCAAATCCCTGTGTGTGTATCTGGGATATTTTAAACTGGTCCTTGGCCAGCTGGTCCTTGGGCTTGAATCGGCTGGGTTGGATCTGGCTGAGGACGTTTCTTAGATGCTCCTGTCACAATGTCTGTTGTGAATTAACTCTGAATGTACTTTTGTGCCTCTGAACTCTGTTGAGACAGCGCAGGCTTTCAAAGGTCACTGCTTTTCACAGTTCAGCTGGATTTGGAAATTGCATTGCACAGAACTTCAAACATTACCCCAGGAAAGGGAAGGAGAGAAGTGGCAAAGTGCCTTTTTCCTAGGGCTGGATCACTTTTACCTCAGGGGATTACTGGAAGAGCTTTTTTTGACCCAGAGCTTGCTGGTTTTATTGTTTTCAGTCCCAACTTTTTTCCATATTATGAAATAGAAGGTACTGACTTGAATTATACCTTTGAATAAAGTGTTATTCCCAGTTTTTATTTTTGGTGGTTTGAGTTGGTTTTGTTTTCCCACTGTTAATGACAAATGAAGTTAAAGACAATTCCCACTTTCTGGAGGGATATTGCCCATTTGAACTGGAGTAGGATGGGATGAGAAGACCCAGATGAGGCTGCATGGCTTTATCTGAAGGACATGGTATTTGTTAAAAAACCAGTTTTGATTATTTGAAAATCATGAATTCAGATCCAGCCTGTAGACTGCATCCAGGTGGAAAATGCTTTTGGATGCATATGAAGAAAATAGTTGGAAATGGTGGTTGGAATTCCTACTGTAGCAGGGTGCTTAAGAACTTTTTTAGGAAGGAAGAGAGCTGAGGTTCAGTTCCTTCCTAACCATGAAACAACAGAGGATGTATATTACCATGGTCTATAAAATAAATCTAATTTAAGTAGCCAAGCAACACAGACTTGCAGCAGAAATCTCAGCCAAAAGCCAAACCTTGAAAAACTGTTCACAGTATATCTTCAACAAAAATAACTGAAGGTGATGGGTTACTGATGATTTTACAGTTACAGATTTAAAAATATACCAGTTAGTTTATACCAAAACCAGCTAATTAAAAGCTGAAACATCAGGAGTTTGAAGAGCAGAAAAGCTCATCTTCCTTTTTTTTTTTTTTTTTTTTCCCCAGAGGAGGAAAGGGAAGCAGAAAAAATCTGTATGAATCCAAAATTTTTCATTACTAGGTCTAAACCACTGGAGATGATGGTGATCAGAAACTGTTAATCCAGTTTGAACAAATACTTCTTTTTTGCTTAATACATCAGATTTTTATGGATATGCAATGCAATGTGACCTCAGGAAAAATTCTCATGGCTTTCTGTTTTGTTGTGACGTAATTTGGACTAACTTAAAATATAAACAATTGTGTGACTAAAAGGTGTGAGCTTTTGGTGTCTTACTAAATATATATGAAGCATTTTTATACTGGTCAGAGATTGCATTATTGTATTTAAGTGATTGTAAGCAATAAGTTGACTTTGCTGTAGAAGATTTTGGCTGAAATTAAATAGCCTTGAAATAGTTAAGAAATTGTTTAACTCATAAAGAAAGCTAAAGTACTAAACCAAAATTTATTTAAATCACAGTAAAATCTGCCTTATTACCCAGAGTGAAGTGAGTTCCCTGACAGGCTGTTTAGGGTTCAGGTGCTTGCACTCTTTTTGAATGTGTTGCTCCGTTTCAGGCCCTGTTAATCTTTACTGGGGCAGCCTGGAACACAAGGGCTGTTGTAACCACCAGAGGGTTGTTCTCCCTGAATGGATACTTGGAAAAAATGGCCCAGTGTTGGCAGAGCGCAGGAGAACTCCTGGCTCTGTCTCCTGCTGGGAATTCTGAAGGGAATTTGAAACCAATGCTCCTTTTGAGCATTTCTCGGTAGTGGAACAAGGTTAGAAGTAGTTTGTTCCCAGAATCCCTGGTCTCTGCAGTGTGACAATTGTCCCTGGTTGGAAAACAGCCCTGGATTAGCTCCCTGTGCATCCAGGGGATGCCCTAAGCTCCAGGCTGCTGAGCAGAAAGAGAACCACTATTAATTTGCCAGCTCTGGTGTTTTGATTGTCTTACACAGATGCAGTTCTCCTATACTGAATGCCATTTTTTTTCTGTGCTAAATGCCCTACTTTCTGAGCTACAGAAATAATTTTTTGCTCAGCAAAACTTAGTAAATGACTTTGGTTCTTTTTCCATTTGGGGGCAGGGGAAGGTAAGCCAGGCAAACTTGTGGTAAGACTGAATATGGTTAAGACCTGGTTTAGGGGTGCAGGATAAACCAGATGACTTCTGAGGGTATTTTTCTAAATCTGTTTTCTGTTTTAGTATATCCTCTAACCATCAGCTTACATTTGAAGCAAGTAATTTCTGTGGCTTAGGAATGATCAAGAAATTGCTCTCCTAATCTCCAGCCACTGTAGGGATTGCTCTCCCACACTGTTTACTAGCACTTAATTATCCTTCAGCAGAATCTCCAGAAATCCCCTGTGTTGCAGTTTAAATCAATTTCTTCTAGACATGGTCACAGAAAACAAGGTTTTCCCTGCTTCTGTTATCCATGCAACCTTTTCCTGTCAGAAAGCAGCAATCGTTTCTCCCATCAGTCCCTCCTAGACAGAAGAAATCCTGGACTTACTTCTTTCTCCAGACTGTATTTTCTAGACTTTTGATCACTTCTCTTGGTTCAAACTGGCACAGGCCTTCATTTTCCAAAAGCAGCTTCATGCCCTAAAGACAAATGGATGGATAAGAAGCACAAATGTAAGAAATGTGGACACAAGAAGATGTAAGCAAAGGTGTATAATAAATTATTTTAAATTGTGGGGATATTTGGTGCTTTAGCTTTTCAGCTGTGAGCACAAGGCAGGTTTATACTCAGAGCAGCTGAATTTGAGAGCAGGGGAAAGATCAGTAGTGACAAAAGGCAGCTGAATTAAGGTAGAAGAAGGAAGAAAAGAATCTTTTCCTCTTCCCTGTCTTCTCCAGTTTCTGGCAGTTACAGAAAGCTGATGATAAGGGCCTCAGAGGTGAGAGCTCTCCACTAATCCTGCAGACTCCTGGGAATGCTGCTTTGGGGGTGTCTTCATCAGCATTGAAATCGCCAG